ATGGTATAAATGGTATCGCGAGTTTTGTCGCGATGTGCGTCGTCTGCATAGCAATAAATGTTACCGGTTTGCAACGTGTGATTAATATGCAGAAGAAATAGCGTTGGTGATAGCACGCAGCCTTGTGGAATGCCAGCGTTAATGGGCTTGTAATCGGATCATGCACCGTCTACTACGACCTGATGCTCCGATCAGGATCACATTTTCTCGGGAAGCCCATAGGAAGTAAGCATTGTAAGAAGCGCTTTGTGCCAAACCCGATCGAAGGCCTTCGCTATGTCCAAACTAACGGCCAACGCCTCCCACTTGGACTCTACCGACTCTCCGAGCGACCGCGACGGAAACCGTACTAGGGGTCACTAATTAGCTGGTGATCTTCAAGGTACCGCATGAGCTGGCTGTTATAATAATTCTAATTAAAAAAGATGCGAAGCCTGGGACGAGAACACGGCTTTCCATGATTAGGAAAGGAGTAATAACGCGTTAAAACTGGTGCCAACTCCGGAGCATAATAGGAGAGACGCCATCTGGCCCACTCGACTTGTTGACGTCTAGGGAGAGGAGTGCTCAGCGCACTGAGCGTTGAGTAAACAGAACATCCTGCATGGAGCACTCACTCCGCGGGACGGTCGGCGGTGTGTTCCCCCCGTCATCCGTCATCAAAAAAAAGTTGAACGCAAAGAGAGAGACCAGCAGATCGACTTTGTCCTTGGCGGCATGGGCCAGTGAGTCATCCTCCCTATGCAGAGATGGGAGAGATGGCTGACAGACGTTCCCTTGGACAGCCTTGGCGAGACACCAGAATGCACGTGTTCCCGAAGGAAGATGAACTAGTTGCTCGCCAATTCTGCCGATGTGCTCCGACTTTGCCTTGACAATGTCACTTTTGAAGGACCTGGAGGAAGAATTGAACTTCTTTTTAAGAGCGCTGGTATTTGCATCCTGAAACGTCGATGCGCGATCCCAGTCCTGGTAGCACTCCTGCTTATTACGTAGTGCAATTTTGCAGGAGCGACCAAATCAAGGATTCTGCCTCCGATAGGTACCACAGATGATGGTATAAAAAGTTCCACTTCCCTGTAGCACTACATCAGCAACAGAATCAGCAACAACGCTGGGATCATCCGGCGAGAAGCAAACCCGTCTCCAAGGGTAGAATGCAAAAAAAGATCGCATCCCGTCCCAATCTGCTGACCTATAATGCCAAACACGGCGACAACCTGCAGTACGCAACCGCGGTGAGAGCGTGAGTGACACCGTACTCCGGATCAGACAATGGTCCGAGGAGCTAAGAGGGGCATCGACGGAAACCTGATATCCGTCCGGATGAGAGGTCAGCAGAAGGTCCAACAGGGAAGGTACATGGTCTTCCATATCTGCGATCTGCGTAGGCAAGGTAACCAGTCAAAGCAAAGTCATCAACAGATCTACTCGCATGATCGGTTAAACGAGAACCAAGTCATTCAGCGTGGTGTTCGTTGAAATCACCAAATATCACGATCATTGCGGATGGGATCTGTTGTAGCAAGGAGTCTATAGCCATCTGGACGTGGTCGATGAGTCGGTCTGTTTCGGCATTACCGCTATGGGACCTATAGAAGAACCCGCAGACGCAGGGATGGTCGTCCCTGTCTACGCGTCATATTATGGACAGGTCCGTACCTTCAAGGCTATCGAGGCGTCGAAAACAGATGTCCACCTTGACGTACACGCAAACTCCAGCCCGGGGTACAAAGGAGTGTTCTAATTTGTACCCCAGGTAGGAGAGATACGAAGTATCAGCCGGAGAGGACACCTGTGTCTCGGTTAGAAAGAGCAAAGCCGGCTTCGCCGTTTCCAGATGGTAGTGAACGTCGTTAAGGTTTGAATGAAGTCCCCTGATGTAACAGAAATTCACGGATAGCGTGGCAGAGGTCGCCTTTAACTTATTGCTCCGTTTGCTCCGAGCAGGTTTAGTCTCGAGCGGAATTTTGCCCTCCAAAATACGCGGGGCAGTCTGTGCACCCACGCTCAGGAGTGGAGTAGCTTCGTCGTGGATGCTCAGCGAGGAATTCTCCAGGGGTGCTTGTACTTTCCTGGGGTAGGCCCGCATTTGATTCCGCTACCATGCTGATGGGAGGGAGGGGATTGGACCTCCGGCCACTTGCACTCACTAGACGAAACGCAGAAGCCAAGCTTCTACTTCACGCTGGTCTTTTATGAGGTCGTGGTACCACCCCGGTTTGACCCGGCCCATGCGTGCAGCAGCAAAGGCTGCCGCGTGGCTCTATCACTGTTAAAATTCAATCTGTATAAAAATGTATTTAAGTACAATTTTATAGATACATTTTGTTTTATTGCCGTATATAACAAACTGTTGTCGTTAAATATATTATGTACTGATTTTGATAGAGCATTATTCACACCGTCTGGTTGTGCCGTTAACTGATTACCGTTGAGTTTGAAAATCAGTGTATCAACAACAAATAACACTGTATCGTTATTTTTATATAATGAAATTACGACACATCTTGTCAGGTATACCTCAAAATCTGAAAACTAGATTGTACAACCAGTGCGTGTTGCCAGTGATGACTTATGGCGGAGCCATGCTGCAGCTATATTATGGTTGTAGCACGAATGGGTCGGCTCCACCGGGGAAGGACCACGCTCTCATAGAATACCAGCGTAAAATAGCAGCTTAATACTGCTGTGTTTCGTATGGTGAGTGTAGAGATCTTGGGACCCTTTTTACTGGAAACGATGCAATTCAACTTAGTGGTGACAACGCATCTGCGTTTTAGTTCTTAATCGAGGATAAATTTAGATGTCTATGGGTCACAGCGTCCACTTACCATCAGGTGGACTGTGTGCTCGTTTGTCACCCTTATTCTATAAAAAAATCTACGAGGGTGACACTGAAAGTTCTTAGAAAATCAAAACCTGAACAAACTAGCAAGTTATTCGTTTTATTACCTTTTCAAAATAGTGTCCATTTATTGTCTCTTCGACGGCACTTTGAAACGCAGCCGCTGCTTCCTCGGTGTCCATAAAACGTTTTCCTCGAAGTTATTCTTTTATTTTCGGAAATAAATAAAAATCCCTGTCGTGGTGAAGGAGGACCCTACTGCCAGGTAGGTCTCGGTCTCCTGAACTTTTTCCAAGACAAGTGGCAAACAATTGTTAGACTACCACTCTGCAGTAACTTTTTTTCGATCCTCTAAAACAATTGTTGCGTAATGACCTGACCTTCCGAAGTACATCTTTTTTCCCACGTTGCGACCTCTCTTCACTTTAGTTGGCAACTCCTCGGAAGGAAACCCCCAGACAGCATACTGTCTCTTAGTTTCAGGATCATAACAATAAATTCAGCTTTCGTCACCCGTGTGTATCTCGAACACAGCATTTGAGTCACCTCCGTTAAATCTTTTAACCATTCGACGACACCAATCAACACAACGGAGTTTTGGGCCTCCGTCAATTTAAGAGGTATCCACCGGGCACAAAGCTTCCTGATCGCTAAATGTTCATAAAAGATTTTGTGCACTTGACTCATACCGATGCCTAAGCTTGTCCGTATCTGCTGATAAGTCACTCTTTTGTCAGTCTCTATCATACGCCGCACAACACTGATGTTTTTTTAGTCATCGCTGTCCCCAGATCATCGTTGATATTAGTGCGACCACGTTTAAACACATTAAACCAGTTGTAAACAGTAGCATGAGATGGGGCTATTTATCGCAAAAGGCCAATCGAAGTCTATCATAACTTTCTTGTTGACTTAAATGACATCGAAAGTCATAAAAATCATTGTAAGATAAATTTTTCGCGTTAAATTCATGCTAACATGACACAGAATTTTTTTTCAATTTGCCGCCAAATATAAACAATTGACAAATTAATAAAATACATACACAATAATATTGGCAGAGTTCCATTTTCAAAATTTGAGCTTAATTTTTTATTATATCGATTACAAGTGGCCAGTTCTAAAAACTATCAGTGTCGCCCTCGTAAGATGTGGTCCTTCACTGCTGGCCGTGTGAGAATGCTCAATGTTTAGCAGAGAAACAGATGGACTGCCTTGAAATTGCGTATTCCTTAGACCAATCAAAATTGTTTAAAATTAAACTTTTAAAAAATAAAAGCTGTTTTCGAAGACCTAAAAGACTAAAATAATTTTTGATAATTCAGTTTTAACCCTTAAATAAAAAGATTTACAGATAGATATAAACAGACTACCATCGGATTTATTCATCATCATCAGCCTGCAACAGTTTCCTACTGAATACCTGCTGAATAGTAAGAAAAAAGCACGAGTGATCGCAGAGTGATCTTAAGCTAGAAGGATTAGTTAAAAAAACTTTTTTAAAAGTTTGTACTTAATGGATTTTTCCTACACTCAAAAAATGCGTCGTGATAGCACGACCACAACTAATTATTCATAAAATATTATATATATAGAGATCCATTTTAGAACCATGCACATTGTAAACTCTTTACCTTAAACTATTTTTATTCGACATCAAAATCGAATAATATAAAACAGATATATTGGCAGAGATCGGCTTAAAACCCTTAAATTGATTAGAGAACCGGTAAAATTGTATATGTGTACGAGGGGTAGACCTGTTCCCAAAATTTGTTGATACATGTCACATAGGCACGTAGGTAGAAGATGCGAGGCTCGATGACACCGAGGTATTAACACCAGGAGACACACACGCTTCCCGCTCAGTCGCAATCCAATCGCGACAGACGCAGGCGCAGGCGCAGGGCCCTGCTGACCACACGCTAAACATTCTGCAAACATTGTCACACTGCACTAGGAGCTCATAATTTTTCATACTTTTATAGGTGATGAAATTTTCTTATAAGTCTTCCTAATATTAAAAAAAAATCGTATATTAAGACCTATTTGGTGCTATATGTTTTCTTATAATTTATATCTATCCTTTTTTTTTGTATTACAGCTATAAATAAAATTTTGCTGAACAAGTGACTCAGGAGATTTCCCCGTAATGGGGCAAAAATTACTATTACAGGTGAGTTTTTATATTGTCTTATTTGTAACTTTTAATTAATAATCATTGCAGCTTCGTGCAAAGTAAAAAAAATAACTACGCTAAATAAGTAGCAAAAAAAGATACATTAAGTTCGTAATGAAATATTTTTATATTTCAAAATACAGTGTAGTAGTAAGTGAAGTGTTTCTTTGCTTGCGTTGGTCGTATTGGTAAAAATCAAAAGTACAATAAATAATATCCACTTAAAAAGCTTATCAGATTACCTGGCAACTTTTAAAACTTTTCTATTATTATTCAAAGTCAATAAAGTACGCGTAAATGTAGTGACATTATCTCGAACTCGCTTTAAAGCATAATAAGTGTATTTAGGTACTTGTTGTGAATGTTAAGATCCTCTTGATGTAACATAACACAAATGGAATAAATATTAGTGACATTTAAAAAAAAACGTAACAAATACTCCAGCAAATAAAACATAAAACCCATCGCAGACGCTCCGCAGCTAGTTAATAATATTTTGTATTATTATTTACTTGGCTCATTCCTTATGCACAACAGTTATGGTGCATTTAAAGTTGAACAGGGAATTCGATTTAAATTTTGGGGCAGTGGGTCTCGTGTGGCTTTTCAACAATGGGAATGATGTTTGGCATACAACAGTGCTGAATTTACATTTTTTTTGTTTTTAATTATAATAAACAAATTTATTGCCCCATTTAAAGCGCAATTTGTGTTTTTAAATATATTTTTGCTCATTTAAAAGTACTTAGGTATAATTTTTAAATATTTATCTCTATAAATTTGAACAAAATAATAAAATGCTTCTATAAAATTATGTACTTACCTGGTATTGGAAATATTTACGTTATACGTAAATAACAAGGAGAGACAGTTATACATGCAATACACGCACAAAAGAAGGACTTTTGGAACGTCGTTTCCTTGGCCTTACTACATAGGTACGTTTTAATAGTATCATATGGTAGGTACATGATTATTTTATTTAAGAAGATTTTTCTCATAATTTGCAAATAATAAGAGAAGCTAGTTTGTGTTTGACTCTACTATAGCTTTAGTTTGAATTTAGTATAGCTATTCAGCAAGGAAACAGCCAGCGTTAATGGTCTGATAATTTAAGCTTTTTAGTTCTTTTATTATAGTAATAAATATTGTATATAATATAGCAAACATCCCTTCTATGAGGAAATCTCTTGAGGAAACCTATGTTCAATAGTAGACTTTTGCGCTAAAAGAAATAAAAACAATCATACTAACAAACACATCAATTATATACACATTTTAATCTTTATACAATTTTAAAGAAACAAAGGTATCAGAAAAATTCTGCCTATGAGTACAAAGATATCTTTTTAGAGTTCCGTTCTATTCCTCAAAAGAAAACATTATCCCTATATAGGACCACTTTGTTGTCCGTCTGTCCGTCCGTCGTCAAGACCGTTCTCAGGAATGGGTAGATATTAAGTTTAAGTTATTTTACATAAATATTGATCCCTTGAAAATGTAAAAAAATAAGTTTCTAAGTCAATATGATCAAATGATATTTGGTTTTTTATGTCACATATTTTATATCCACGACTGGTCATCGCTGCTGGTGATAAGAGGGCTGGTTCTTTCCTCGCTCAAAGGCTAAGTATAGCTATTCAGCGAGGAAACGCAGCCATCGTTCTTGGCACTATACCACGGGGAGCAGGTCTTTTTGACGATTTAAATTTTTAGTTTTAGATTTTCTATATTATAGTTTCTTCTTTTATATTATATAATTAGTTTTAATCGTCAATATTATAATTTTAATTATTATTTTAGTTAAGTTCTTTATTATAATTTTTGTAACATAAATTGAACGTTATTTGAAAGTTTGATGAATAATGAACAAAAAATAAAAATTTACTTCAGTATTTAAAGTACAATGGTTAACCAATATCATTTTAATACTTATTATCAACTAATTTAGCAATAACCAAGTTCTAGCAGCACAAGTAAAGGAACATAATTCGAAAACCTTTCATTTGTATTTATATCACAATTTTTTCTACGATTACAAACTTACATTAACGGTTGGAACACCGACCGTGATGTATGTAGAAATATGTAATAAATCTTCAATCCGACTTATCTTTTCATTGCTTCCCCGGTCGAGCCGACCCATTCGTGCTACAACCGTAATATACCTGCAGCGTGGCTCTACACCGTAAATCAACTAAAGATCCCTCACTCATGAGTTATCGTTTGAGATGCTCATGATGGCAAATTGAAAGAGTTACTCTAATTTCAAATTTGAGTAACTCTTTCAATTTGCCATTTTCACATCACTCACTCGTTTACGACCACATATAAAATGACAATATAAATCGCGTCGCGAGTATGTGAACGAATACAAAGCGAATGACCCGATGAGTGAGGTGTTGATACTGAGTAAAAAGATTAAGAACAACAAAAATTATGCTTGAATAATGGAATATAAATAAATAAAGAATTCACATATTTTCGTAAATAAATAAAATCAAAATCATGCGATGAAAAAGTGTCATCCAATTTTGTGATCACTATGCTTAGCCACTGCTATTATAAATACATATTACTATAGTAATAATATATTTTGCTATTTAAAAAAAAAACTTTCGGAAGGTGAGTTGCCAACCTTGCAAGGCGCATACGTTTACGAGCGATTCTCCACCTCAAATTACGGGTGCTTCGTGAGTACCCTGCGAGGTAAAATAAGGTGGAGTACTATCATCCTCAAATAAAATATAAGAGTAGCCCATGACTACTTACGAGCATTGTAGTTAAGTGGATGTTATCTTTGTTAATTTACGGTATTCGTGTATGGAACTATCTACATACATAATTATATAAATTTGTTCAGAGCCCTCCGGGCGCGAATCTCACTCACTCTTGTCCGATTTTTTGTATTTACATATTTTTCTTATAATCGAACTACAGTCCGATGTCAACAAGGACATTACTATCATTTGTAGGACTTATAAGAATTATTGCAGGTTTTTCATTGACAAGGCAGTAAAGAAAATTAAAAGAATTGAACTTGAATTCTAATGGTTGGCTAAATGTCAAGCAGACATAGGTATTATATTTCGTGCCGGACGACTAATAATGACGATCCCTAGCGGCTACCTGCATCTGATGCCTTTATGCAAATTGTGTTGTTTTCCAAACTAGACGAGTCAACGTGCTAGTATCCATTTTAAACTAATTTATAAGATCAATTCCTAGGCAGTCACATTTAGATAATAAACACACCGTACCGTAACATAGAAATTAAAAGCTTTTTTCTCTTTATGGTCGAACGGAATATAAAATGCATTCGTCGTTGGATACTAATGTAATAAACGAATTGATTATAACAATTTACTGAATTCATAATAACAACGACGTTAGATTTTTTGTAAACATAAAATTAATCTAAAGAACAGGAATGGAAACGGAAAATAAAGATAATATTTTGCATAATTCTTATGTCACTGACCACTAAACAGTAGGAACGATGGTCAATGACACCATACAATCATAGAAATAGAGATAAAATTTATGTCTGTGAACTTGTCTAATGTTTTCGTATTGACTTTGTCAGGTTATGTAAATTACGCAAAGAACTAGTGCTTTACTTGATCGGTAGGTCAGCGACCGCCGCCCACACTTCGGTGCTTTCAGTACGTCATGCCACACAAGCATTGTTAACAAAATTCTTTACTAGCCTCCTATACAAAGCATACACTATATACGTTATATGTCATTTTTATATGCATAGCTCTACGCCTATAACAGGGATGCGTATCGACTTCATGCCGTAGGTTTTAATTTTAGTCTTGTAACTGTTACTTAAGTAGTCATTCTGTTGACAAAAGAACATAAAGCTTTTTACACAGGGGTCAGTAATCTCTGAATCTTTGTTCGATATATCTTTATTTATTTATAAAAACACGACTGGCTGGTGTATTTGAATAATTAGTAAGCAAAACATCTCCTACAACATATTGTTCGAGGATCAGTGCTAATTTGTGTATCGTAGCGTATTGTGTTTACTTCTTTAATATATAACTGTTGTTTAGTAATTTTAATACATTTTCGCAGGGCGCGGTAGCTTTACTGCTAATTTCTGGGACTGTACCGTCTCCGCGTTTGGATGATGATTCCTTCTCGCGTGGCGCAGTAGAGACTATACCAGAACATGAGCCTATTCCCCAACCAATACGAGCATCCGTAGAGAATATACCGCTCAGGTAAGAACATTTTTAATCATTTCCCCTGATCAAAATATAAGTAGTGAAATAGTACTGAACGCATCATTGTTTTTTAAATTAATAATAATAATAAACGTTTATTTCGGACATCATGATCCATATAAATTATTGGTAATTTCTTAAGCCTAAGTACTATGATGATTTTTTAAATTTACGCGAACACTACACATTGTAAAACTAAGTTTAGGGATTTTATCGCTTTTAATTAAATATTTTTACTTATTTTTAATTCCCGGCGTTTCGGGTACTTTACAGCACCCATGGTCACTGGGGGGACTGAGATGTTTGACGTCCCAATGTCATAGTTCCCGACTAACTTCAGTTTTTTAATATTAATTTTTTGGTCCGATCTACGCAAAATGAGCTTATAGTATTTTGAAGTCTTGAAGTGGTATGCTTGGGTTTGGGTTTAATTTTGTTAATTATAGGATCCCAAGCAGATGGCAGCACTCATCCATCTTCTCTATTGAAATTAGGATTTTTTTTAATTTCAAAAGCCTCGCGTATCATCCTTGGTAGGAATCGGTGTTCTTTTGCGAGGATTTGTGGTTTATCAAATCTGATGTAATGGTGGGGATGATCTTGAACATGTTCACAGACTGCAGACTTCCCGGAGCGTCGGTGCTTCACGTCAGCTATATGTTCTTTCACGCGGGTTTTTATGAATCTTTTTGTTTGACTTATGTAAGAGAGACCACATTCACAATCTACTTCTAATCTACTTGTACACTCCTGCATCTTGTAGAGGAATATTACACTTGACGGATGGTAAAAATTGACTAATCTTCTTCGGCGGCTTGTAGTAATTTTTTAATGGAAGTTCGCTTCAAAATGTAGCCAACATTGTCTGTGACTCTTCTGACATGTCACAGGTCTCTCTTACATAGGTCAAACAAAAAGATCCATAAAAACCCGCGTGAAAGAACATATAGCTGACGTGAAGCACCGACGCTCCGGGAAGTCTGCACTCTGTGAACATGTTCAAGATCGTCCCCACCAGATTAGATTAGATTTTATAAACCACAAATCCTCGCAAAAGAACACCGATTCCTACCAAGGATGATACACGAGGCTATTGAAATTAAAAAACATCCTAATTTCAATAGAGAAGATGAATGGGTTCTGCCATCTGCTTGCGATCCTATAATTAACAAAATTAAACCCAAACCCAAGCATGCCACTGCAAGACTTCAAGATACTCAAGCTCGTTTTGCGTAGATCAGACCGAAAAACTAATATTAAAAAACTGAAGGTAGCCGGGCTAACTATGACATTGGGACGTCAAACATCTCAGTCCCCCCCCCCCCGTGACCATGGGTGCTGTAAAGCACCCGACATGTCGGGAATTAAAAATAAGTAAAAGTAGTTAATTAAACGCGATAAATTTAGTTTTATTCTAAGTACTATGAATCAGATATAAAAAAAAAAACATATAAATCAAGGTATTCTTTTTGGTGGCAGTAAATTATGAACAGTAAAAAAAACAAAACGTTCGAATATTCTCTTAATCTAAATTACAAAGAATGCTGAAGTAGTGTATATAATAAATGGCCAGAAAAATGGATGAATGGGGAGTTAAGTAAATATCTCTACAGCTTAGCAGTTCTCGGCAATTATAAAAAACATGCGGCAAAATAATTATTGATAAACCAATCAAAACTTACTGTGTTAGGATTATTTTTCTGCCTACGAGTCTGTCTGGGTACTCTTACCTATTTCTGGTTGTGAGAGATACCATCTTAGTCCTCAGTGACGCAACTGTAGCGTTCTCTGTTTGAAGAAATATGCGGGTGTAGATATAGACTTACTTTTTTACGTGGTAGAGCCATGCTGCAGTTATATTAGTAATATAGTTGTAGCTCGAATGGGTCGGCTCGACCGGGGAAGAACCACGCTCTCACAGAATACCAGCGTCAAATAGTAGCTTAATGCTGCTGTGTTTCGTGTGGTGAGTGTAGAAAATTGGAGACCCTTTTTACTGGAAACGAGGCATTCCATCTAAGTCCTCACGGGTGACAACGCATCTGCATTTTTTTCTCTTTATTAGGGATAACAAACAATTGTACAATACAATCTTATTATTAAACACAATACTATATTTAAGCTTAATAATCATACAATCAGCACCGTTATGCACATATTACTTCTGGGTCTGTTTACGTAACAATTAAAAATGAAAGTGTAATGTTCTATTAAAAACGACCCATTCACCAATAAATACAGAGAAAAACTAACTAATTTACACATATGCATGTACATGTGCACGCATATACATACACACATATATACAAACATATACATATACGCACATAGTTATACACATAGATAATACATAGATGTGAAAAATTAAATTTAACCTAAATAAACAATTACATTAAGTGGCATCAAATTCAGATAGAACCTTATACACAGCTTTTTTATATCTAGAAGAAGTTGATCCAAAGATATCTACGTCATTAAATTTGTTGTTGTATAATTCCATTATACGATTTAAAGGTGCACGTGCACTGGCGTTTGTTTTACTTGGTTTTCGAAAGAAAAATTGATGTGAATGGAGCTCACGTATACGCTTCGTGCGGCTGAGTATACGAATATATATTTGATTGGTGAGTTCATTACAATCAAATTTGTTAAGGCAGATATTGTAAAGCAAACTTTGATCCAAGAGCATCCTTCTTGATTCTAAAGAAAGAACACTAAATTTTCTTAATAAAAGTTCATATCATTCATTAGAATTACTTTTAAAGCATTTGTACATTGTAGATTTTAAAAATTTTCTTTGAACACGCTCCCTCTGTAAACTATATTTACTATTAATTGGACTCCATATAACTGATGCATATTCGGCCTGTGATCTTATTAGAGTTTTTTATAAAGTTAAAAATGTGGTGGGATGTTTGAAGGAAGAACATGTTCGCATAACAAAACCATAAAGCTGAAAGGCTTTATTGGTTATGTGCGTTACGTATTCATCAAAGTGTAGTTTAGAGTCTAAATACAGTCCTAGATCCCTGATTAAAGATACTGATTCAAACGAAACACAGTTTAGTTTATAAGTGTATTTAATAATGTAATTTTTTTTGTGAAAGTGATATGTTTGCATTTTGATCTACTTAAGTGAAGTTAATTTTTAATACAGTAGCCTGCCAAGCGATTTAAGTCTTGTTGTATTTTGTCACAATCTTCGACACTTTTGACACCGTGATAAATTTTAAAGTCATCGGCGTAAAGGAGAAAGTTATTGAAACGGAAACAATCACCGATATCTTTCACAAATAATATAAAAAGCAAAGGCCCAAGAATAGAACCTTGCGGTAAGCCTGAGCTGACATTTATGATATTGGATGAGAAACCATTAATCACAACCCGTTGATTCGTAATCGAGAATAGATGTAGATTTCTATGGGCCACAGCAACCACTTACCATCAGGTGGACTCTGTGCTCGTTTGTGACCCTGTCCTATAAAAAAAACAGACCATAGAATTCATTAGCCACTTACCATCAACTGGACTATAAGTTCGTTCGGCATTTGTTTCATAAAAAAAATGAGTTTTCATTCAGGCTAATTTCGATTTGACAACATTCAGCCATTTTACTACTCAATCGATTATTCCCGCCATTATGTATTTATTTAATAACTCATTTCAATATTTGGTACTACTCGTTTTATATTTTCACCGCGTAGTTTCTGTCGCCCAACTTGTCAATGAACATGTATTTTGAATTTTATAAATGACGAAGGATCTAAAGTACCGATATACAATTGACAGATTAAATAACTGGCTGGAATTTTTTACTGTGTAGTGGCGATATGAGAATTTCCACTACCCCATATCAACCCGTGAGTGTCGTAAGAGACAAGATGCGGTTGCCAATCCTCTTGCCAAGCGTGACAACTGTAGCAAATATCCCTATATATGAGGCAATCTTTGGGGGAGGCCATTAATAAGTAGTTAAGATTTTAATAAGTAGTAACGGTGGAATTTTTTCAATAACTTATCATTTAATAATGGAAGTGAATATCTGTGTATATTTTTTTTGCAATTGATTGTTTTACTTTATCCGAATTGTATTCCGAATAGAGCCGTTGTACTTCAGGTGCAAAGCGATCGCCGTAAATGTCAGTCACACATTCATTAAATTTAATGTAATCCAGCATATCTGAGGAATAAAAATATATCGAAGACTTGTGAAGACTGCCAACCCTCATAGGGGCAGCAATAAGCATAAAGTCCATAACCCTCTCAGTAATATGAGGAGTCCTGGGCCCAGTATGAGACTATTATAAACTGTAACTTAAGGGGAAATATTACCTCAAATGCCTTAGCAAGATCCTCCGTTATGCCGAAAATATTGCAGCAATTTTGAAATAAATATATAGTAAAGTTGAGGATTAATGTTAAGGATTATGTTAGACGAAAACACGATTCCGTAAAATTTTCTCGATAGAAAAAATATCCAAAGTTACCTCCAAAATAAACAATAATCCGCTGTTATTCATAAAATACTTTAATAAATCAGAAACTTTCATACTAACTGAACTAACTATAGCGTCAAATACCATTTTTCACTGTGAAAAAAATAAAACTCGGCCTCCGTTTTCCTCCTGGTTTATTGTAAAAAATAATAAAAATAAAAGGGACTGCTGGCAAACAATTATACCAAAAAGTGTCTAACGACCTATCTACTTATACTATTAGTGATTACAAACATGTCGGTACATAGCATACGACGTTCGGGGAAGTAGGGGCGAAATTAGAATTTGACCTGACTTATATATCCCCTTAACCCAAATTGAGTTAACCACATTTTTTATTTATAATTATGTTTATTTGCTGAATTGTTCCGGGTTTTAAGAAGAGAGCTTTTAAATGTTACAATCGATTTATTCTCTTTTCACAGAAGATAGGAAGCATCATCTTTCTTATAACAACTCAAAATTATAAAAAAATCTGTTGACACCCCGTCTACACGCGTGGCAGCTATGGAAAAGTTTCTCCCATGGATTATGGGGGAGGCCTATAATTTTATGGCCTGTAATGGATGAATGTATCAATTTCAGCGAAATGACACGTTAGAAACTTGTCTACTGGCTGTGGTTTATTAATTTTATTCAGAAGCTTTCTATTTATAGCTTTCAAGTGTTAACCCACCAACACATACGATTTAAAAAAAAACATTTTAAAGGCCAACAAAATGGTTTAAAATTAATGAATATTTACAATTTTACTTGTTATTTAGAATGATTGAGTAGCGACAGTAGCCTAATGGCTGGGTGGAACCTCGAACTCAACTCGTGGGTTCGAATGCACGATTCGACTAATGTCGTGAACGACTCCTTACTCAACCATTTTTAACTTACCAGAAGTTATTAATGAGAATATTAGTAATATAAATAGCATTGCTTGTATTTTTTTAAGACAAAACTAAAAAAGATTATTACGTCGTTTTAGGAATCTACGAGACGAAGGTGATGGAAGATTACCCTTGAGGGATGCTGTTGAAAAACGACCTATACCTGTTATAGATCCTCATTACCTTTCTAAAGCTTTTGAGGTACATAAACCTATGCATGTTGAATTCATATTGTCCGAAAATAACAAACTTACTAACCTTTATATTCTTTTTCAGACAAGTGACAATTTGTTAGACAATGTTGTGAACTTGGAAGAACTGAATCAGTACTACGGAGCCGCTAGCTACTTAAACAAGTATGCAGTAAAACATCAAACTCATAAAATATTATATATATATATATATATATATATATATATATATATATATATATATATATATATATATAATATTAATAATGCCGTGTAATGGCGGTTAAGAATATCCACTACCCCATATCTTCCCGTGGGTGTCGTAAGAGGCGACAGAGGGAGACAGGCAGGAGATGGGCAGCAGCATCTTCCTGGTAACAGCAACTGTACGACAAAAAAAAACTGCGGTTGCCAACCCGCTCGCCAAGCGTGGCAACTATGGCAATATACCCCCCCATGAACAATTACACAAATAGACGGCCCCCAGTCCCCGGCGGCCCCGCTATTCCTGGCTACGGTGGCGACCATGGTAACGGCGGGGCAGGGGGTGCTAAGAATCTCCGGTGGAGGTTCGGTTGCCACCTACGACGACTCGACCTGGCAACATTTAACGCACGCACACTGAGGACTGACGAGAAGATCCTGGAGCTGGAAGAAGAGATAGACAAGTTGCGCTGGATTATTATAGCATTATCCGAGGTCCGAAGAGAGGGGGGAGGACACGGTGATTCTCGAATCCGGCAACTTGTTCTATCACCGGGAGGGCGACCATCTGTCCCAAGGAGGTGTCGGATTTATCGTCCACAAGTCTCTCGTCAACAACGTTGTACAGATTGAGAGTGTGTCGACGAGGGTCACGTACCTGATACTCAGAATCACCAAACGGTATTCGCTGAAGGTCATACAGGTTTACGCACCAACGTCGGCACATTCCGATGAGGAGGTGGAGGAAATGTATGAGGATATTTCCAAAGCCATACATTCCTCCAAAACCCACTACACGGTGTTGATGGGAGACTTCAACGCAAAACTAGGCACAAGACAAAGCGGTGAGCTGAAGTTAGGGAAATTTGGAGTAGGGCAACGGAACCGAAGGGGCCAGCAGCTGGCCGACTTTATGGAGAAAGAGGGACTCTTTATGATGAACTCTTTCTTCCAGAAGCGGCCCCACAGGAAGTGGACCTGGTCGAGCCCCGACGGTTCGACAAAAAATGAGATTGACTTCATTATGACGACCAGACGCCAACAGTTCAGTGATGTCTCAGTGATCGCAAGGGTGAAAACTGGCAGCGATCACCGAATGGTTAGAGGCACACTGAACCTAAACGTTAAGTTGGAGAGGTCTCGTCTAATGAAGTCAACGCTCCGTCCCCCTCGTGCTCTGATCCAAAATCCCGAAAACTTTCAGCTCGAGTTACACAACCGCTTTCAGTGCCTACAAGATTGCAATGCAGTGGACGATATGAATGACAAGCTCGTGGAAACTGTCCATGCGGTCGGAGCTAAGTTCTGCAAGACCCGCCGCAGAAGAACACAAAAACTCTCCGATCACACTCTTAATCTCATGGCTGTTAGACGAGAGATGAGGCTGCAATCGTCAACAGATTTGACAGCATACAGGCAACTGAACAGACAGATCTCCAAATGCATGCGGCGAGACTTACGCAACTTTAATACTGCTCGTATTAAAGAAGCGATCGAGCGGAACCAGGGCTCCAAAGTCTTTGCCAGAGATCTGTCTGCCAGAAAGAGCCAACTGTCAAGGCTGAAGACTGAGTGTGGCAGCATCGTTTCCGGAACACCTGAGATTTTGAGTGAGATTGAGAGGTTCTATGGGCAGCTGTACACATCATCGTTGGAGCCACACGCAAGTGTGAGTAACGATCCAAGAGCAAGTCTTATCCGACACGATTCCGATGATATCCCGGACGTCAGTCTAAGCGAGATTAGAATGGCTCTCCAGCACCTTAAAAACGGCAGGGCCCCAGGCGAGGATGGAATTACAGCGGAGCTTCTGAAAGCGGGTGGAACACCGGTACTTGAAGTCCTTCAGAAGCTCTTCAATTCCGTCCTCCATGGTGGCACTACTCCAGAGGCGTGGAGCAGAAGTGCGGTGGTCTTGTTCTTTAAGAAAGGCGACAACGCTCTCTTGAAGAACTACAGACCGATTTCCCTTCTGAGCCGCGTCTACGTGCTGTTTTCGAGAGTCATTACGAATCGTCTCGCACGCAGACTCGACGACTTCCAGCCTCCCGAACAAGCCGGTTTCCGAAAAGGCTTCAGTATCATAGACCACATACATACCCTGCGGCAGATTGTACAGAAGACTGAAGAGTACAATTTGCCACTTTGCCTCGCGTATGTGGACTATGAGAAAGCCTTTGATTCCGTCGAAATTTGGGCGGTGCTGCAGTCCCTTCAGCGGTGCCAAGTTGACTGTCGGTATATCGAAGTGCTGAAGTGTTTGTACAGTAGGGCTACGATGGCTATCCGAGTACAGAACCAGAGCTCGAAACCTATCCAACTGCAGAGAGGTGTAAGACAGGGTGACGTTATATCCCCGAAACTCTTCACCGCTGCTTTGGAAGACGTTTTCAAGCTACTGGACTGGAAAGGATACGGTATTAACATCAATGGCGAGTACATCACTCACCTTCGATTTGCCGACGATATAGTCCTTATGGCAGAATCGCTGGAGGACTTAAGCACTATGCTCAATGACCTCAATAGTGCCTCCCAACGGATAGGTCTTAAGATGAACATGGACAAAACAAAGATTATGTTTAATGTCCATGTCACACCTATGCCGGTAGTTGTTGGGAGCACTATGCTCGAAGTTGTTGACGAGTACGTTTACCTGGGACAAATATTCCGACTAGGTAAGTCCAACTTCGACCGAGAGGTCAATCGACGGATTCAACTCGGCTGGGCAGCGTTCGGGAAATTACGACATATCTTCTCGTCAGGTATACCTCAATCTCTGAAAACTAAAGTGTACAACCAGTGCGTGTTGCCAGTGATGACTTACGGATCAGAGACGTGGTCCTTCACTGCTGGCCGTATGAGGACGCTCAAGGTCGCTCAGCGAGCTATGGAGAGGGCTATGCTCGGAGTTTCTCTGCGTGATAGACTCAGAAATGAGGATATCCGCAGTAAAACCAGATTGACCGACATAGCCCAACGGATTAGTAAGCTGAAGTGGCAATGGGCCGGCCATATAGCTCGAAGAACCGATAACCGATGGGGAAGAAAGGTTCTCGAGTGGCAGCCTCGTACCGGTAGGCGTAGTGTAGGGCGACCCCCCACTAGATGGAGTGACGACCTGGTAAGATATGCAGGAAGTCGATGGATGCAGGTGGCTCAGGACCGTGCTTTGTGGCATTACTTGGGGGAGGCCTATGTTCAGCAGTGGACTTGTGAAGGGCTGTGATGATGATGATGATATATATATATATATATATATGCCGTGTAGTGGCGGTTGAGAGTATCCACTACCCCATATCTTCCCGTGGGTATCGTAAAAGGCGACAGAGGGAGACAGGCAGGAGATGGGCAGCAGCATCTTCCTGATAACAACTGTGTTATAATAAAAAACTGCGGTTGCCAACCCGCTCGCCAAGCGTGGCAACTGTATAAAAAACGGCCTCCAGTCCCCGGCGGCCCCGCTATTCCTGGCTACGGTGGCGACCATGGTAACGGCGGGGCGGGGGGTGCTAAGAATCTCCGGTGGAGTTTCGGTTGCCACCTACGACGACTCGACCTGGCAACATATAACGCACACACTCTGAGGACTGAAGAGAAGATACTGGAGCTGGAAGAAGAGGTAGACAAGTTGCGCTGGCATATTATTGGATTATCCGAGGTCCGAAGAGAGGGGGGAGGATACGGCAATCCTCGAGTCCGGCAACTTGTTCTACCACCGGGAGGGCGACCATCTGTCCCAAGGAGGTGTCGGATTTATCGTCCACAAGTCTCTCGTCAACAACGTTGTAAAGATTGGGAGTGTGTCGAGGAGGGTCGCGTACCTGATACTCAGAATCACCAAACGGTATTCGCTGAAGGTCATACAGGTTTACGCACCAACCTCGGCATCCCGATGAGGAGGTGGAGGAAATGTATGAGGATATTTCTAGAGCCATGCATTCCTCCAAAACCCACTACACGGTGTTGATGGGAGACTTCAACGCAAAACTAGGCACAAGAGAAAGCGGTGAGCTGAAGGTGGGGAAATTTGGAGTAGGGCAACGGAACCGAAGGGGCCAGCAGCTGGCCGACTTTATGGAAAAAGAGGGACTCTTTACGATGAACTTTTTCTTCCAGAAGCGGCCCCACAGGAAGTGGACCTGGTCGAGCCCCGACGGTTCGACAAAAAATGAGATTGACTTCATTATGACGACCAGACGCCAACTGTTCAGTGATGTCTCAGTGATCACAAGAGTAAAAACTGGCAGCGATCACCGAATGGTTAGAGGTACACTGAACCTAAATGTTAAGTTGGAGAGGTCTCGTCTAATGAAGTCAACGCTCGTCCCCCTCGTGCTCTAATCCAAAATCCAGAAACCATTCAGCTAGAGTTACTAAACCGCTTTCAGTGCCTAGAGGATTGCAATGCAGTGGACGATATGAATGACAAGCTCGTGGAAACTGTCCATGCGGTCGGAGCTAAGTTCTGCAAGACCCGCCGCAGAAGAACACAAAAACTCTCCGATCACACTCTTAATCTCATGGCTGTTAGACGAGAGATGAGGCTGCAATCGTCAACAGATTTGACAGCATACAGGCAACTGAACAGACAGATCTCCAAATGCATGCGGCGAGACTTACGCAACTTTAATACTGCTCGTATTAAAGAAGCGATCGAGCGGAACCAGGGCTCCAAAGTCTTTGCCAGAGATCTGTCTGCTAGAAAGAGCCAACTGTCAAGGCTGAAGACTGAGTGTGGCGACATCGTTTCCGGGACACCTGAGATTCTGAGTGAGATTGAGAGGTTCTATGGGCAGCTGTACACATCATCGTTGGAGCCACACGCAAGTGTGAGTAACGATCCAAGAGCAAGTCTTATCCGACACTATTCCGATGATATCCCGGACGTCAGTCTGAGCGAGATTATAATGGCTCTCCACCACCTTAAAAACGGCAAGGCCCCGGGCGAGGATGGAATTACAGCGGAGCTTCTGAAAGCGGGTGGAACACCGGTACTTGAAGTCCTTCAGAAGCTCTTCAATTCCGTCCTCCATGGTGGCACTACTCCGGAGGCGTGGAGTTCAATGCGCGGTGGTCTTGTTTTTTAAAAAAAGGCGACAACGCTCTCTTGAAGAACTATAGACCGATTTCCCTTCTGAGCCGCGTCTACGTGCTGTTTTCGAGAGTCATTACGAATCGTCTCGCACGCAGACTGGACGACTTCCAGCCTCCCGAACAAGCCGGTTTCCGAAAAGGCTTCAGTACCATAGACCACATACATACCCTTCGGCAAATTGTACAGAAGTCCGGCCATATAGCTCGAAGAACCGATAACCGATGGGGAAGAAAGGTTCTCGAGTGGCAGCCTCGTACCGGTAGGCGTAGTGTTGGGCGACCCCCCACTAGATGGAGTGACGACCTGGTAAGACATGCAGGAAGTCGATGGATGCAGGTGGCTCAGGACCGTGCTTTGTGGCATTACTTGGGGGAGGCCTATGTTCAGCAGTGGACTTGTGAAGGGCTGTAATGATGATGATATATATATATCACGTTTCGAGTGTTGTGCTCCCGAAACGTCGGGAATTATAATAAGTAAAAATAAATGAAATTAAGATTAAATCCGTGAAAATAATTTTATTCAATTTGTATTTATGTAAATATAAGAAAGTATAATTATATAATACGTAAATAATAATAAAATATTTTATTGTAGTGGTTCGCGTACCGACGAAAAACTACAGCTGGGTAACGCTAATCTTCAAGGTATTAAGCAAAGTTTATTTTATACACTAAAACAATACGTTATTGCTAAATTTATATTTTGATACATTTATCAATGTTCACAATTTGTAGACATTTCTAAGTAATACCTAGTATGGTCACAAGTTCTGTTACACATTCAAATACTTATCTACAGTATACAGAATACCTAGCTATTAAGGAAATGCGCAATAATAATAAACCTTATGTGCATCGAATCTAACTCTAAGCGATTAATTAACAATATTATCCAAAGTGGGCGCCTTTGGATTAGATAGAGGTATTTAATGTATATATTTATTTACACGCTGGCTTGAACGTTTCGAGCAGGACATGTCTTAAAGTACCTATGGTCGAGGAGGGAGCTGGCACTTGAAATACAGCTGAACCTTATGAAGTGTCTTAAAAATATCTGCTAATGGCTTCATACCTACTTTTTCAAAATTATCACTGCATTTGTAACTGTGTTTTCTTTTTCCCATAACATGAATTATAATATAATAATATATATATATTTGATAATGGCACAGTTTAATATGATACTTCAACTGTGGTAATAAACTCGTACGGTTGTATTATTGTAGGAGATTTTTTTTGTAACAATTTGCTTAAAACCTTCATTACAACAATATGCTGATTCGTCACATTGAGAAGTTTTTGGGAGGTTTTGCCCAGCGTATAGTTGTGTCCCTTGGCGCTTTAGCGGGTAAAAATAGTTGAGATTCATATCGTCAGTGAAGCCATTGCTACGTCTTTCCTACTAATATTTTTCATGCGCAGACATTTAATAGAACATAAAATAGCACCACTCTTAATATCTATTAAAATCCACTTCAAAACATTGTTTAAAGAATAAAACAAGAGCAGCAATTAACCGGCATTTAAATTTCCGCCAAAACTCCAGATCAGAGGCTCTTATTTTCTTTTTCTTTTAAAATCGTTAACCGACACTAGGATTTTCTATTTTATCATGAAAGCAGTCCATCCACACAAAATGCACAAGAACGAACATCCAAGCTCGGAAAAATTATTTGTAGACCTAGACCATACCAATCTTGTTTATTGGTCCCTGCTGAATTCTAAACCGCGGTCCTCAGCAACTCAATGATGATGCACGGTTCGATTCTAATACGAATTCATTCCGAATTACAATTCAAAAAATAAAGAAAACAAAGAACTTTTAAAATTGTAACATTATTTATGGCCATACCACATAGGTAGTTATTTATAGAAGCTTAATAGACAGCAAATATAAACATGATTAATTACTAATATCTTTGTTTGTTTCTAGAGATGCAACAGACCGTGGGCGCTCCAACTACACGTCGCATAGTAGTTTGCTACTTTGAATCTTGGGCAGCATATAGGGCTCCTCCGCTGGCGTACACTGCAGGCCTAGTGCCTCGCTCTTGTACCCATTTACATTATGCCTACGCCTCTATACATCCACATACTTACGTTATTATACCATCCAATGAAGACTATGATGTGATTAAAGGTAAAATAGTGTTTTGGAAGATAATAAGCATGTCGCAAATAATAAACAGAAACACTTATATACTCTTAAGTTTATATTTTTTAATATTTTTATAGTAACAAATTAGCACACAGTGCACCTGATGGTAAGTGCATGCTGTGGCCCACAGACATCTTCATTTATCCTCGATTAAGAATCAAAATGTAGATGCGTTGTCACCTCTAAAGACTAAGATGAAATGCCTCGTTTCCAGTAGAAAGGATATCCCGTTCTCTACACTCACCATACCACACGTGCTGCAGCGTGGTTCTACCACTTTCAACTAATGTACAAAATCAACAATTTTAATATAACACCCAAAATCATTTTATTTGGCAAACAAATATTTTGGCTTTGACGTGAAGTGCCACACTCGTGACGAACACACGACCCGCGTGAAAGCTAAGCGTTAATAGGTACCTGGTAATAGGTACATGCGATCGGCATATTCAAAATTCAGTAGTGATGTTAGGAATATATATCATTATTTAAAAAGGATCATAAATATTTTCAGGTGGTTACCGGATAGCAACTGGTTTAAAACGACGTCTCTCTGGCCTACGGGTATTGCTAAGTGTCGGTGGTGATGGCGCTGGGCGTTTGTTTAGTGAAATGGTACAGGAGTCTTACAGAAGAAGTGCATTTATTGACAGCGCAGTCGAATTTTTACGAGAGCACGACTTTGATGGACTAGATCTCCACTGGATATACGCGGGTATTTATTAAAGATAAATATTATTCGCTTTCATGAAAAATACTCTATTTTATACATATTACTTATTTTAAAAAATTTTATTACAGGGGACAAGGACGAAAGGGAAAAAGAACTGTTGACATCACTGCTTTACGAGCTGCGAGAAAAGCTGTCTTCTTATGGATTACTCCTAGCTACTGTTTTACCGCCATTTAGGTAATCCTTGTGTTTAGTTTAAATCAATGGTCGTCAATCCAGATTTATTGACCACATTCATGCGGGTCATGACCACTAATCAATATGACTTTTTGCCGAAACCTAATTATTTGTGGCTTAAGACATTATCACTGATAATGTGCCTTTACAACTCTAAGAAATCAGTTTCAAGTACGAGTTTGATACTTCATTGTCAAAGAAAACTGGACCATTTCCCAAATACCAAAAAAAAACAGCCAAAAAAGCCAGTATTAATATTGTTTACCGCAGCCTCATTTTGTCGCTATAGTTCCCATAACGAAGTAAACTACCTATTGAACAGACTGTCATTATGATTTAGTCACTATACATCTACGAAAATTTACACCTGAAACCGTACTTCCGACTAAGCAAGGATTTGTACTTCCAACCTACTCAATAGATTACGAGTAGTTTTATGTCTGGGAAAACCAAATTAAAGTTATAATTTAACAAATACTTATTGACCTTTTTAATATAAAAGTGACACGCGAGCTAACATTCCATCTAATGGTAAGTAACTACTATTAAAGCCCGTGGACAAGTTCTTTTAACACAATTAGGGTTACAAATCAACAAATCTATCCTCGTTAAAAATGAAATTGTAGATGCGTTGTCACCTGTGAGGATAAAAATAGTTTAAGATAGACTAAGTGTAAAGAATCGGAGACGCTATTTACTGTTAAGTAACGAGGCATTCATCGACACACAACAGCATTTAACTTTTATGTTACTTTGATATTTTGTGAAAGGCCCTTCCCCAGTCGAGCCGACCCATTCGTGCTGCATATATAACATCATAGCTATAACTTGGTTTTAGTTTTTTTATAAAACTTTAATCAACTCCGTACAACAAAAGAAACAAATTTGTTCTTACTCCTAGGTACTAATATGGCTCACAGCTTGTTATTTACCTTTACATAGCCCTAGGTACTGTGTGACTGTAGAAATATGTAAAAACGTTCACCACTACCAAAGAAAGTTTCATTTTTCATTCTTAATTAATTTTAATGGTATTTTCTTCTCAAACTTCGCTTTAACTACAGGTATCAAATTGAAGACGGATATGACCTAAGTGCCGTCAGCGGTGCTACGGATTACACTATCCTACAAGCTTGGGACATGACTCATCGCAACCGCGAGGATCGGCCATCGCGTGCTCTTCAGCATAGCGCACTGCACCGGGATCCTGGCGCTTCGTATCGAGATCAAAGATATGACAATATTGTAAGAAAAATTGAAAAAAAGAAAACATTTTAACAATAGACTTCAGAGGGTTAAGCATCATGACATGCGTTATGTGAACGATCAGTCCCTCCCCCAGTCCGCGACTTTGGACTTTGTTGAACAAAGTCTCGCGCTGGGGCGATTAAATCTAGTCCACTTCAATCCCCTGAAGAGACAAGTTTGTGCGTTTACGGCTAAAAAGAACTCCTTTTTCGTATCTCCTCAATTTATTTTGTTCATCTTATCAATATTTCTATTTTAATAATATCTCTCAATTTTGGAATAAAATTAGGTCTTGTTCACTTCTGGTATTACTCGCTATTTGTTCGTGAAGTTTTATTGCAATGCGTTCAACTATTCTGTAGGTTAGTTCGATAAGCAGTCAGAGAAACGAAAACTTTAAAAATGGTTACTCATTAAATAAAACTATTATCACAAATTTTATCGAGTTTAAATCCGCAAACATAGTTTTGTTCAATGTGTAGTATTCGCATAAATATAAGAAATCATAATTTTACTCATGTGTCAATGGTTAAATATTTTATACAAAAAGCTCACAAATTATCGAAACAGGACTGCGTTTTTTATGTAGTTTATAGCATTTTGCTATCATTAATGCCAATGACAAGTTGAACTGAAGTTATAGTAGAACGTACAAAATAAACTCTCCTACTTAAAGTAAAGATACACCCCATATCATCCCTGTTCAAAACTCTCCCGTAACTATGGCAAATATCCCCTCCATAAGGCAATTTATGGGGAAGTTTCCGTACATACACTCTTATCTATGTGGGGAAGTTTATAGAATATATAGCAGTGGACAATAGTAGGCTGTAACGGAAACATTAACGAATGTTTGTACTGCCCAAAACACAATTTAATTGTATTTTCTAGTATTCCCTTGATCTCCGTTTCATACGTAATTTTGTTTAAGGAATTTATGGTAAAATACATTCTTCGCCACGGAATGGCCGCTGAGAAGCTAGTGCTGGGCGTACCTTTGTTTGGACGCAGTTACACTCTTGCCGCCTCTACTTTACCTGCCCCAGGTGCAGCTGTAAGCGACTGGGGTGAGGAAGGACCATACACACAAACTCGAGGAATGCTCGCCTACTTTGAGGTAATAAATACATTAAGCATCCTTTTCTTTCTTTTCGGAAATGTTAAAAAGTTTTTCAGTTTCTCCTTGCTTTAGAGGCTTAAAAACAAAATGGTATATCTTATAAAACGTTGTGTGTCTACAGATATGTATGGCTGAACGTGAAGGAAAAGGAACAAGTGCATTAGATGAAGCTGGTAATTCATTTGCTGTTTTTGATAATCAATGGGTAGCATACGATTCTCCAGACACTATTCTTGAAAAGGTAACATAAATTTTTTAACTACTGAATAAAGTTATGAAGTGAAATATTTTCACTTAATATCAATTATTTATTATTATCTTGTTGCAGATGAAATTTGTTATAAGTATGGACTTAGCCGGAGCAGCGGCATGGGCAATCGACATGGATGATTTCCGTGGTCTATGTGGGTCCCCTTACCCAATTTTGAGTGCCATATCGACGACATTAAACGGTAAATAATGTAAAAAAATTAAACTTTGTAACTTTAAGTGACGAAAAAAATATTTTTAAACTATTTATTTTATACTATTACAGGTGAATTGACACAATCTGATCAAGCTTCTCTAAAGATTGGATCATGTGAAACAGATATTCCTTATTTGTCTTCTGACGAAGAATCCTGTGCACATTTCCATTTTTGTACTGGTGGTATAAGTTTTAGAATGGTGTGCGAAGAGGACAGACTTTATGATCCATCGACAGGTTTCTGTGGGTATGTTTCAATTGACTAATACTTAACTTTAACAACAATTAAAAATTTGTTCAATTTATAATTAGTTAAGAAATAAATAAAAATGCACTATCATATAATATCAAGTTGGTATGTGTAAGAAAATTATTTTCCCTCATCAGGCATCAGGATGTAACGAAATGCATTCCCGGACAAAGCTTGAGAATTAGCATTGAGGAAGCGGCACGATTCTTATCACAAGCGTATGAGACCGACTTTCAGGTAGTTTTTATAAACAAATTTATTTATATTACCAAAATATTCAAGCAATTATGAATTTTATTTCATTTTACAGTGGAGTAAGCTAGGGTTAGTGAATAAGAAGACGGAACAACTCGTCGAATCAACCCAACCAGATATTAAAAGTAAGTCACTATAAATTTATTTTATAAAAATGAATTGACAAACGTACGTACAGTCCATCTGATGGTAAGTGACTGCTGCAGTCTGTGGACACTTTCAGCCAGTTTCAAACCAAGAAGGCAACAGACGCGTTGTCACCTCTATAGACTAATATGGAATGTCTCGTAACCTGTAATTATACTGGTTCTATTGCTTATCCTTCAGACCGGAGAACAGCACTGTAAGCACTATTATTTGGCAGCAACAATAAGTAAGCGAGTGGTGCCTATATAGAACTCCCTAGTAAATTTATTATGTTACTTTCAAAATTAATCATGTTACAAGACCATATTGCGTCTTAGTTTCAGGTCGGGATAGTGACAAACGGATTGTTTGTTACATGACTAGTTGGGCGTTCTACAGGCGCGGCGAAGGAAAATTTGTTCCTGAACGTATCGATACACGTCTCTGCACTCATATAGTTTACGCTTACTCCACTTTATTGACCGATGAGCTTGTTATCAAAGAATTTGATCCTTGGGCAGATATTACTAACAGTAAGTCACCATTGCGATATTGTAGATTTCTTGACGAAATTTAATTTATTTTTACATTGCACTATTTTTCTCCAGATTTATATGAACGTGTTACGTCTCTTCAAGATGTTAAAGTTCTCCTAGGACTAGGAGGATGGACAGATTCAGCAGGAGACAAATACTCACGTCTAGTATCGTCTAGCGCAGCTCGAACCAAATTTGTTGTTAAAGTTGTTAGTTTCCTACGAATGCATAATTTTAAAGGCCTCCACTTAGATTGGAACTACCCAGTTTGTTGGCAGAGTAATTGCAAGAAAGGCGCAAAGTCTGATAAACAAAACTTCGCCAAACTAGTTCAGGTATCCGTTGTAACGTTATTTCCTAATTTATAAATTATATACACATGACTATACATATCACCGTCTCGACTTTTAGGAACTTTCGAAAGCCTTACATGCAGCTGATATGGAATTAGGTATCGCAATATCTGGATACAAAGAAATTATTGAATCTGCTTACGACTTGCCTGTTATATCTAAAGCTGCTGATTTTATAAGCACTATGACATATGATTACCACGGAGGATGGGAAAGAACAACTTCACATCATACACCATTGACTTCTAATCAGAATGATGCTTTGCCTTATTATTCAGTAGTAAGTATCATTTCATACCCTAACAGAATTATTACAACGTTTCTAAAGAAGATATAAGTTAAATATGATTATCTGCAATTCTAATAATGGACATCTTTTTAGGAATATGCAATAAAAGCAATGATAGATGGCGGTGCAGACCCCAAGAAGTTATTGCTTGGCTTGGCGTTCTATGGACAATCATACAGATTAGCAGACGCCGAAGGATCTAGCGGACCGGGTGCTTCAGCCGCTGGTCCTGGTGAACCCGGAGAGTTCACTAAACAACCAGGAATGTTAGCATATTATGAAATTTGTTACAGAGGTAATTTGTCACAATACCTGATGTATAAAAACTGAATATCTTTACTCTGTAATACATGTGTGCGCTAAAATTTCATTTTGTTTTTGCAGTCAAAAATCTACGCTGGAGGACAGGCAGGCAAGATCAAGCCGGTCCCTACGCATACTCAGATAACCAATGGGTTGGATATGATGACCCCAAATCAATCCGTGAAAAGGTAAGATGTAATTTTATTGTATTACTCTTTTGCAAATAATATTTTCATAACTTAAAAATAACGTTATTTTAACGCAGAACACTAGTCAAATCATTTTTTGCTAATCTCTAATAAGTATAAGTAATAAACATAACTATATATTCTATAATACGGATAATACAATCTAATTATGTTGATAAAACGGAGGCCACGGTATCGAAACCGCGTGACGAAACTAGTTTAAAAATATAATATTGAAATTTAACCAACCACGCAGGTTGAATGGGCACTGCGCCTTGGTTTGGGTGGAGTAACCGCGTGGGCAATCGATTTGGACGACTTCAACAACCGATGCTGTATGGAGCCGTCGCCCTTGCTGCGTGCCGCGGGTCGCGCTCTCGGCCGCAACGTACCAGCGCCACCCACGTCGCCATGTGAACGACCACCTGAGCCCATCACGCCAGCTCCGCCCACTACCACACCTGCTGAATCTGATGGTAAGATAAACAAAATTTGACAATCTAGTAAATAATTCCTTTAGAGATAGATTTTCTTTATAGAATAAAGGTGACAAACGAGCACACATTCTACTTGATGGTAAGTAGATGCTGTGGCCTATAGAAACCTACATTTATCCTCTTATCAATTAAAACGCAGATGAGTTGTTAATGCCTTGTTTAATGTGTATAATTACGTATGTGCAATACAACATAGTATACATATGTGCTGTCACCTGTCAACATCTTCTCCAAATGCCAACCTCATCTGCACGCGATACACTTTGCTGGTAGACTAGTGATTATGGGAAGTTCCAGAATAGATATATAGCGAATCTCGTTTAATCTAGGCATGGCATACCCAAACCAAGGAAACTAGGTTATCGCACTAACGGTTCGGCTCAACCAGGGAACAACCATGCTCTCACAGAGTGCCAGCGTAAAATAGCAGCTCAGTGCTACTGTGTTTTGTATGGTAAGTGTAGAGCCACCGTTTTTAATGGAAACGAGATTACATCTTAATTCTCCGGGGTGACAACACATCTAAGTTTTGACTCTTAATCGAGGATAGATGTAGATGACTATGAGCCACAGCATCAACATACAATTAGGTGGACTGTGTACTCACCCTTATGCTATAAAAAAAGTTTCATATTGCATCAATCCGTCCGCCAAGGCAGATGCAAGACAGATGGGTGGGCCCATATCTGTTACAGACAAGGAGATAATGATCACTATTTTGAGTATATATGATAATTCATCATCACCTTCAGGTCACTCCATCAAGTCCGGTGGTAAGGTTTTATCATAACTAACAAAACGAACCCAAACTCGGCACACCTAGTTCTACTAGTCTAGGAGTTCCAGTTGTAATCACTGAATTACACCTTCAGGTCACCCTATCAAGACCGGTGGTAGGGTCTCATTGTAACTAACAAAACGAACCCAAACTCGGCACACCTAGTTCTACTAGTCTAGGAGTTCCAGTTGTAATCACTGAATTACACCTTCAGGTCACCCCATCAAGACCGGTGGTAAGGTCTCATTGTAACTAACAAAACGAACCCAAACTCGGCACACCTAGTTCTACTAGTCTAGGAGTTCCAGTTGTAATCACTGAATTACACCTTCAGGTCACTCCATCAAGTCCGGTGGTAAGGTCTCATCGTTACTAACAAAACGGACCCAAACTCGGCACACCTAGTTGTACTAGTCTAGGAGTTCCAGTTGTAATCACTGAATTACACCTTCAGGTCACTCCATCAAGTCCGGTGGTAAGGTCTCATCGTTACTAACAAAACGAACCCAAACTCGGCACACCTAGTTCTACCAGTCTAGGAGTTCCAGTTGCAATCACCGATTTACACCTTCAGGTCACTCCATCAAGTCCGGAGGTATGGACTCGTCATAACTAACAAAACGGAGCCCAAATTCGGCACACCTAGTTCTACTCGTTCAGAAATTCCAGCAGTAGTTACTGCATTACCCTTTCAGGTCACTCCATCAAGTCTGGTGGTAAAGTCTCATCATAACTAACAAAACGAACCCAAAATCGGCACACCTAGTTCTATTAGTCTAGGAGTTCCAGTTGTAATCACTGAATTACACCTTCAGGTCACTCCATCAAGACCGGTGGTAAGGTCTCATTGTAACTAACAAAACGGACCCAAACTCGGCACACCTAGTTCTACTAGTCTAGGAGTTCCACTTGTAATCACCGAATTACACCTTCAGGTCACTCCATCAAGTCCGGTGGTAAGGTCTCATCTTAACCAACAAAACGAACCCAAACTCGGCACACCTAGTTCTACTAATCTAGGAGTTCCTGTTGTAATCACCGAATTACACCTTCAGGTCACTCCATCAAGTCCGCAGGTAGGTAAGGTCTTATTATAACTGACAAAACCAGTTCAAAGTCCAGAGCTAACATCTCACTACAAGTAGAGGGCTTCCAGTGCCAAGCAGTCTCTGGAGCAGGTATTCGTATTTCGTATCTAAGTATATTTCTGAGGTATAAGAAATCGGAATCGAATCGAAATCTTTCAAATTATCAAAATAATTTCATTTGACTACGATTCCCACAACCAACCGTGCGTACACTTATTTGTGCGACTTTTGTCAAAGTAGTAGTGCGATTCTATCAATTTTCGATCGAAACCTATCAATTTTGTAAACGCGTCCTTAAAACCACAGGATTTATATTTTTATAGCACTCAATATTCAGTCTGTGACAACAATTATATGAACTCGTCAAGAACTGATTTATTGGTGCACGGAGAAAACTGACACAAGTCCGTCGTCCATAAGCGCCAGCGCGCGACTGGTCAGGTTTGCCGAGCCGCCGCGCTCGCGCTTTTAGGAGGTATCTAAATATAGTAATTAACACAATATTTTTATCAAGTCAAACTCTGCGAATTTGTCTGTAAAAATTAAGTGGCTTTATTTGAGTACAAAATTTATGTGCAAAATGTTAGTAGTTTAGTCATAATATTGAAAAAAACAATAAAAAAAGGGGTCACTTCGGGACTTTTTTCTATCGAGTGAAGTTCTTTAGATTTTGTAACTGAATGCGATTTTGACTAGACTAGATCCTTAACTAATAGTATATATTTTTATCAGAATTTAAAACACTAATTTCTATGCCTCAGATGGTTTAAGAAAACTCAAAAGCGCGGTCTCTGCGAAATACCTAGCCTTAAGAAAAAATAACAACGGTTTTTATTTACAGGTTCAATTTCCAGCACAAGCGAACATGGCAGTCACGATCACGACCATGCAACAAAACCAACTGCAACGACCTGGCCCAGCTGGAATCCGGGAACCACCACTGCAATGACATGGTGGCCACAAGCTACCACCACCACTATGAAACCAACGACAACTAAAACAACTACTACACGCCGAACTACGACCAGCGAAGTTCCTGACACTGATTCAGGTAAAAAAGCGAAAGCCCTTTATTATAGTTTTAAAGATAAAACACATATTTGTTTGAATATTTTAATGATCAAAAGTGAGAATGATAACTTAGAATCATGTAAAATCCGGCTGCTGGCTTTTTATTTATTTTTCTGAACAGCAAATAAATACTAATTAGAAATAACTTATGTTATTTGATAAGTTATTGTAGATTACTTAAAAATTGTCACTTCGTAACTAAGTCCAAAAGTGTAGGTTTGCATTTACGCGCGGTGTCATAATGACAGCACGGGTGACAGAATTTGCATGATGCTGGAACATTTTTACGCATTTTAGGGACAGCGGGACACAAACCTTTAAATCGGGAACATCCCGCCTAAAGTGGGACGTATGGTCACGTTAGATATGAGGGAACTCGTATGTAACAGATATACTTTGACAAAGTGACGACTCCGTGGCGCACTGGCTTGGCAATGAGTGGCTGCGCTGGGGGCCACGGGTTCGAATCCCATACGGAACAAGTATTTGTATGGCCTACAAATAAAAGTTTGTAAACTGCCTCCACGATACAGGAGAAAATCCGGGGGTAACGTTATAAAAAATTTTTGTAAAAACACTTGAGTGTGCTTAGGCTGCCTAGATTATTTTTATGTTGAAAAGTACTTCATCATTATTTTATTTGGACGTCATCGTCCAAGACGCCTGAATAAAAATTTATAATTTTTTATTCCGGGGTTAATTTTCATGTTGAAAAATAAGTATACTTTGACTCGTAAGTAAGCATCTATAGACATATTTAGTAGATAGAGTATATTTCTATTCGTAAAGGTTTTCATATATTTTAAAATGTTGTATTAGTCTACAAAACATTAAGCAACAAAAGAAGCTGCAAAAACATTCATGTGTCGTTGTCGTTTTTTTTTCGTCATCAACCGTACAGTATTACCATTTTGAGCCTTATCGTACTACATTATGCAAAACATGACGATATATCGATATTCATAACGTGAATATATCGATATAGTTTTTCACTTTCCCACCCTACTCGTCACTATTGCCACCATGAGTACATAAACGGAATATTGCTAGGAGCTAGCCGGACACGCGAGGGACCCCGTTAGCGCGCCGTACACCCGCCTGCGTCTGCTTCAGGCTCTACAATCTTAGAACATAAAACTTGGAAACCTATGAAATGCTATTATACAAAATTAAGACGCACTTCGTAAACTATTTAAAACCATATCTATTGACTACTTTTTATTTTAGTCGTATTATAAAATCGTTTTATTCCAACCAACAATAATAGGTGACACTCTTCGCAATTTCAAGCGAATAATTCGTTCATCACATACTAGATGTCGCCACTACCTGTAGGTAGCTTTAAAAAATATTTAAAAAAAATATTCCAATCAGTAGAAAATAAGTGTAGCTGAAATTAAGATATTTTTTTTTGTTTAAAGTTAATAAAAATCTGTGATGAATGTTTTTTAACGTGTGCTTATAAATAAATACCGATTACATGTGCTTTCGTAAAACTGTTCATTAAAAAAAACCATAACTAGATGTTTTTGGTATGATTTTGAAACTAAATCTGGCAGCACATCATCCTGCCATTACGTGAATTTATTTACGCTTTCAGTTCACTCTACACTTTTGTTCTCTCTATTCAAAGTGCGTGGATAGAACATAAGCATTGGAAAATAAAGCTTCCCACGAAATAATTTTCTCTACTATGAAGTGAAAGTTGGAATGAGAATTATTATTAATATTTTGTATCTCCACTTTATGATCTCGGGGCTTTTGGGGCCCGGTCATGGGGACATGGGGTCCAAGACGCAGAGACTTTTTGGAGAATTTTACTATTATTAGTTATGTGTTTATTGGTGTAAGCAGTTAAGAGTGTAGAAACGTAACCTACGTTTCTACACTCGGGCGGCTGCGGGCTGAAATTTCTTATACAGTCAGCATTCTGCCACTTCTTAAACTTAAAGCTCTAGCACTTTAGCTCTAGCGCTTCACTCTGGCCGGCAGACCGAGGCATGCCAAAGGTGGGAAATCACAAACTCCCCGGGCTTATTATTATTAATATTATATGAATAGAATTCATACTCATTTTTAACTAGTGATCTGCTGTGGCTTCGCACTATCCGGGTTGTCCGGGCTAATATTCAATAGTTGAACCGATTATGATGAAACTATACGAAGAGAGAGAGAGAGCGCAATTCCAAGAGACTATATTTTATCCGAAAAACTTAAAGATTTTTTTGCTAAACCAAAAAATTGATAAAATAAATGGTCTTGGATTATCTTAGATTTAAATAACGCCACATTAATAGATGCTATCGAGGCGAAGCCGGGTCATGTCGCTAGTAGAAATAGAAAATAATTTTATATCTTTACCATAAATTAGGTATAAAAAATACTCATTGAAAGTCATTTTGAAGACTAATTAACCGCCATTTTCTCGCTCAAAAGCTAATTATTATAGCCTTTCAGCGAGAAAACGCAGCCAATATTCTTGGAAGTACTTGGGATCAAAGACATTTATTCTCATAAGAATTTACAAAAATTCACTTAAATGAGAAATACGTTAAAAACAAAATACATAATGAGTGTAGTAAGTGGTCACCGAGCGTGCCGGGCAAAGTACACAAATATTTTATGTTACAAAAATATATAAATAGTGCGGGTAGAAATTTTACCATCATATCACGATTGTAAGTATACCGTTGTTTATATAATATTTATAGTTTTAATTTTTTATTGTTCTATGTATTGTACATAAAGTCACAATATTTTGGCAGGTATAGAAGGCTCAGCTTGCGAGGCTGGCGAGTACCGCGCCGCACCGGGTGACTGCGAGGCTTACTTGCAGTGTGAGGGCGGACAATGGCGCAAGCACCGCTGCGCACCAGGTCTACACTGGTCCGCAAAAACAGGCCGTTGCGACTGGCCTAGCTTTGCTCACTGCACAGGTTAATTATAATTTTAAATATCTGCTAAAATCTTAGTACAGTTACGCACGTTAATGAATCGATCTACAAATTAATACGTATAAACAATTCATGCGTGGTACGGTCACGCTGCAGCTATGTTATAGTTGTAGCACGAATGGGTCGGCTCAACCAGGGTTGAACCACGCTCTCTTAACATTCCCGCGTAAAATACTAGCTTAATGCTGCTGTGTTTCGTATGGTGAAGTTCGAGTGTAGAGAAACGGACACCCTTTTTACTGGAAACGAGGCATTGTCTCAGACATCAGAGGTGACAACGTTAGAAATAACAATTTTTATTCTTAATTAAGGATAAATGTAGATGTCTATTGGCTACAGCATGCACTTACCATCAGGTGCACTGTGTACTCGTTTGTCAAACATATTCTATAACAATCCGCCGTGCCGTGTTAAACACGGACTTCACATGTCCTCGAAATGTTTTATAATCCAGGTTTCCTCACGATATTTTCGTACAGCGCCGAGCACTTGGTATATCACAATAGGAAAATAATATTTCACTCGAATAATTAGTAAAAGCTAGTTTTACGTCATCGTCTTAGAAAGTACAAACCATCACAAGTCCAAAGAGATCTTCTCTCTTGGATTGTTACGTCGGTAGCTGGTGGAATCAGTACTACAGACCACTGATTCCATCAGCTACCGACTCGGCGCAGCGATTTCGTGTTCTTTATTCACAACTAAATATAGGCTTAGTCCATCAAAGGCTTTCAAGTTCTTCACTGCTACTAGAGAACCGGGGAATAATTCCCAACAGTTGATAATTCTTCGAGTTATATGACAAGCTCATTTTCTCATTAGTTTTTTACTTAGTTTTTTTTGAAAGCGGTAAATAACAGTAAAACGAAAATGAATAATCAAAAGTTTTATATTTAACATTATCACAACAAGCTATATATATTTTTTGTATATTGAATTTTTTGCATTAGATAGGATTGGATTGATTGGCTCAAAGCAAAAAAGCCTTACCCACGTTTATATAAACACAACATTTAAATTATTTTCTGTTTTAGAGAAACCGCCTAGCCAAGAGAGTACGGCAACAACAACGCTAGCTCCAGCCACCTCTCGACCACCATCCACGACAACGACAATACGCACTACCACGACCAGAGCGACGACAACAACGACTACAACGACAACAACCACACCTAAGCCCACAACCACCACAACAACGACTACGACATCCGCACCTGTTAACGAAGGTCAGTTACCACAAAATATAATTTTATAAATTTATAATACCTTATAGTGATGTAACTTAATAAAAATAAACTGTAGATATACTTTATCTAACAACTTTTACCAGACTTTATTAAGGAAGAAGGTTATCAATTTGAGATAAGTGAAAGGATTTGCTGATATTTTTGTTAAAGAAGTATACTTACTTATATTATGTTCTGAATTACCACTAAATCAGTAAATTTTTTTAAATATTGGAACTTAAATCTAGTAACCGTAGCTCCAATGTAAAATGTACTAACTACATTACAATTCAATGATGGTGAAACTACTTTTCGTCCATTGTAATAAATCGAGCCAAAAACCGATCAGGATCTTGTTGCAATAATTTTAATTTTTTTCACTTTACAAAATTCACTTGAGACACCACCATACGACATATAAAAAATGTTGATAATATTTTTTACTAATATTTATTGTTATGTTTAAAGAAGAGGCAGCCGCTGGGCAACCATGCAGCGGACAAGATTATCAATTAGTTCCCAATGATTGCAATTCGTATCTGCACTGTGACGGTTCAGTATGGCGTCAGCAACGTTGCGCCCCTGGTCTGCACTGGAGTCCCAAACAGAAGCATTGTGACTGGCCTAAATATGCTAAATGTGAAGGTGAGGAACCAAATTAAAATATTAATAATAACATTTTGGTGGTTTTATGTAAAGTATGGTATTTCTACTTTTTGCAACCCGTAACAGTTGACGTAAGTCTCTGCTAGTGTAGAAGTTTTGCCACGCCATGTTTGGTAGTAGGATTGACGATATGATCGGGCACACAGATGATAGTCGGGCCAAAAAAATCAGTTATTACGTTTTTCCATTAAGAAATTCTCAATATCTGGCCGGAGTCAGGAAGTCACATAAGGCCGTTGGTCATGCGCCTGATCTCTTCCCGGTCGTGTCGGTTTACCGCCCCATCGGTCTACAAGAGTGATAGAATACAGAGTTCAGCTGTGCTTGCGCATACACTGGGGCACTGTAATCCTGTCCTGCGTCGTTGGCTAGTCTCCGGCGAGGTTGGCCGCCGTGACCGAAATTTGATCTGGAGAACATTATTATATCGCCAATTTAGCGAAAGCTACGAAACTATTATTTACGCCCTTACGACATCGTAGTGACAAAATGGTGTGATAGACGAAGCATTAAAGCCGTGCAAAAAGCATCACACCATTTTTAATTTTTTGTATTTATTTATCAGTTAAACAAAAAACTGTTGAAAGACGTGTTGCTTTTTATTTATTAGTTTAGTATTTATTACAAAACCTCTTTTTGATGTTTTAAGGGACAGCTCAGAAAACCACAACAACTGCACCCAAACCAATTCGACCTGCCCGACCGACCAGACCTCCGACTACAAGTAATAACATTTGATATATCTCATAAATATTGCATTTTATTTTTAAAGGATTAGTTACAATGGAATGGTTCTATTTATTTTCAGCAACACCCAGCTCAGAACAGGATCGGGAAGACGGACCCTGCAGCGATAATGAAGTGCACGCACCAGCTTCTACCTGTGACGCATATTTGTTGTGTGTAGGCGGCCGCTGGCGTAAACAGCTGTGCCCACCAGGACTTCACTGGGACAAACGAACCAACCGTTGCGACTGGGTCGAATTCGCCATGTGCGAAGGTACATAAAATCTAGAAACAATTCAAATAAAATGGAAGTTCACTGCTAAAATTTTACAAACAAAATGAAGGCCTACGTGCGTCTCACTGCTGGTCACGGTTTTTTTTTTAAATTAGTTTCATGGCAAGTTTGGCAAAATTAATTCCCTATTCGCAAACTTTACGTGTCCTCATAATTTTTGTACATATTTTCTTAATTTATTTCATGCTTATATTTTTTTAAATCAAGCATATCTTATTTATTTTACATTTATTTAATTTTACTACCTCATAGACCCGTGTAGTGCTGAGTTCAGCTACTAACAACAACCAGCATAGGTGTGACATGGACGTTACACATTATCTTTGTTTTGTCCGTGTTGATCTTAAGACCTTTCCGGTGGAAGGCAATGTTGAGGTCATTGAGCATAGTGCTTAGGTCCTCCAGCGATTCTGTCATAAGGACGACGATATACGTGGGCAAATCGAAGATAAGAGTGATTTACTTGCCATAGATGTAAGAACCGTATCCTTTCCAGTCCAGTAGCTTGAAAACGACTTCCAATGCAGAGTGCACGTCACCTTGTCTTACACCTATCTGCAGATGGATAGGTTTCATACGCTGGTTCTGTACTCGGATAGCCATCGTAGTCTTACTGTACAAACATTTCAGCACTCTGACATACCGACAGTCAACTTGGAACCCCTGAGGGACTGCAGAACCGCCCAAATTTCGGCAGATTCAAATGCTTTCTCATAGTCCACATACGCAATATATAATGGCAGATTGTACTCCTCAGTTTTCTATATAATTAGCCGAAGGGTATGTATGTGGTAAATGGTACTAAAGCCTTTTTGGAAACCGGGTTCTTCGGGAGCCTGGAAGTCATCGAGTCTGCGTGCGAGACGATTCGTAATGACTCTCGAAAACAGCACGTAAACGCGGCTTTAGGAGAGAAATCGTTCTGTATTTCTTCAAGAAAGCATTGTCGTCTTATTTAAAGAACTAGACCAATGCACTTCTGCTCCACGCTTCTGAAATAGTCTTACCATGGAGGAAGGATTAAAGAGCTTCTGAAGGACTTCTAGTACCGGTTTTCCATTCCATTATTAATATTACTTCCATTCTCGCCTGGGGCCTTGCCGTTTTTAAGGTACTGGAGAGTCATTCTAATCTCGTTCAGATTGACGTCTGGGATACCATCGGAATAGTGTCGGATAAAACTTAGTCTTGCATCGTTACTCACACTTGCGTGTAGCTCCAACGATGACGTGTACAGCTGCCCATAGAACCTCTCAATCCCACTCAAAATCTCATGTGTCCCGGAAACAATGCTGCCACACTTAGTCTTTCGCTTCAATAGTTGGCTCTTTCTGGGAGACAGATTTCTGGCAAAGAATTTGGAGCTCTGATTCCGCTTAATCGCTTTTTCAATACGAGCTGTATTGAAGTTGCGTAAATCCCGCCGCATGCATTTGGAGATCTGTCTGTTCAGTTGCCTGTATACTGCCAAATCTGCTGAAGACTGCAGCTTCATTTCCTGTCTAACAACCATGAGGGGGGGGGGTCTTACAGAACTTAGCTCCGACCGCATGGACAGTTTTGACAGACGGCCATTGTATTGCAGTCTTCTAGGCACTGAAAACGGTTTTGTAACTCGAGCTGAAAGTTTTCGGGACTTTGAATTAGCTCACGAGGGGGACAGAGCGTTGACTTCGTTAGACGGGACCTCTCCAACTTAACGTTTAGTCCAGTGTGCCCCTAACCATTCATAAATAAAATCTATAGTAATATATATAATATTAATAATGATTATTTCTACAAAATATTGCTACACTGATTTTAAGGTGTGAAGAAATATGACAGAATTTCTAAAATAAGAAGTGTGTGTGTGAGTGTACTTAAATAGGTCCTTCACCTATTTAAGTACACTTCATAACTATTGTTACGAGCTTAGGGTTCGAGACAATAAAAACTGCTGATTAAATTACCAAAATGGACACTTTAATTACTGATCACCAATTAAAACTTAAATCATACTAATAATTATTCACACTTAACACTTTAGTTCATTTTATTTCACTCCGAAAGCTTCGCTCGTATTGCCAATTCAATACTGCCCCGGTCGCGGCTCTCACCAGCTTTAAATACGCCTCCTCCACCGAAACATCTCGAACGTTCCAGCAAATACCGGTCCCGACCTAATAAGTGCAGAAAGTTCGAGTGTGGACTTTTCTAGAAAGCTTAATCCGTCTATTCGATACTAGATGGCGCTGTTGGGAGAATTCTAGAAAGATCTTGATACTTCTATTTCTGATACTTGATACCAGATGGCGCTAGTGGCATCAACTGTGGCGCGCAACTTTATCAATCCAGTATAAAACAAAACATAAACCTCTCACAGAAATCGTAAAGTTGCTTACTGATAATCTATTTCTTAATATATTTCAGCATCAAAACTAACAACAACGAAGAAACCAGTATATCAATATTCAACTACGAGCAGAACAACGACCACGACAAGGTGGTCGACAGTAACTACAAAGAAACCGTACACATTATCCGAGGAATATCAAAAACCTACAGTTAGTAAAAATTACCATTTTACAAATTGATCGCGCTTCTTAAATTCCCATTTGGAACTTATTGTAATAGATCCGATATCCGCAAATCAAAATTTTTACAATTTAGTATGTAAAAATTTTCATGAAATGAAACGAGTTTCATTTATTTTTGAAAAACTTAAATTAACACCTTAAAATAATAGGTAAATAGGGCATGGACATAATCTTTATATGACATTCTCCGCCAGTTAACCATGGGTGCCAAAGACAACGTTAGGAGGTACGAAGATAAAAATGAGTCTTCTATAAATTGTACATGTGTAGTTATTGTCCTCAGCTAATGTTGTCGTAGAAGTACTTTAAAAGAGTATTTGTTGCATTCTTAATATCATTGTGAAGGATTTTCCAAAAATGTATAGCATGTACCGTAAATGAAGGCCTGTAAAAAATTAGACCTGTGCTTTGGAATACTAAGTTTTGACTTTGTTTTGAGGTTCTTTAACAATCCCGTTCTATCTACTGTTTGTAAAAGGATGTTTAGAAGATTGTGTAGAATATATTTCAAAAAGAAATGATTATATTGTCTACAAATCAATCTCAAAAGCTTAATTCTGTAACAAACTTCTGATAACATTTTCGTTAAAATCGATTCTATAGTTTCTCAAAAAAAACGGACTTGCTATACAATAATTGGTCACCAAATGGGAAGTTGCTAGTGAAGGTAGACCGAATTGCAGCCGCATTTTAACCTGCAATAATGTTATACTTTTTGGCAGCGTTGTGTCACCGGCACCTACCACACGCATCCACGATGTGAGAAGTTCTACGTGTGCGTGAATGGTGTATTAGTTACACAAAGCTGTGCTCCCGGCCTTGTTTGGAATACGGAAGGTTCACAGTGTGACTTCCCAAGATTAACATCATGTTCAGATAGAAGGAAAGTAACATCTTCGGCCATGATCGATGGCACCAAGATTACGACAAGTAATCTCGTACAAGATTCAGAAAATAAAACGAGTAAGTACTTTTATATCTATCCATCCATCTATTACAGCCTATAAAAACTGCTGAAAATAGACCTTCTCCAAAGATTACCTCATAGGGGGATTTTGCTATAGTTGCCACTTGCTACGCTTGGATTGGGTTGGTAACTACAGTTTTTTTTGCAATTTTTAATTTTTTTTATATCTGATATCTATTCATACTATTTATATAAAATTGAAGATTCAGCTCATGGGGTTATTTGTCATAGTTTTTAATATTATTAGAAGGCAACTATGTAGTTTTTTTTTAAACTAGTAAGTTAAATTTTTCAATAATTGTATCATAAATTAAAAGAATTATAAAAAAGTTTCAATCAAAACTTTTTAGTTTGCAATTTCACACAAAAAGTCATTACACTTCATCTATATTGTACCTCTTAAGGTTTTAACGCAATATCGATTTTATCATTTCAAAGTTATGAGCTTTGAGATAATAGCAGAAAACTGAATTAAAAATAATTTTTTTATAGTTAATCTATTTGCTAATACCACTTTTATTTATACGATCCACTATTACCGATCCCCAGGTTTTTTTTTTAATTTTAAAGTCTAGTTTAGTAGTAGTTTTTCATAACATCTCGACAACAAAACAAAAACGATCTCATAAAAATTATACCTATATGTATATATATATATATATATATATTATGAATATTTTGTAAAGTACAGAATTAATTCACAATTTCTTTTAGCATACTGTGAAAGTGGTCAGTATGATAGAAACCCAACAGACTGTACTAAATACCGCCACTGCCTGTTTGGTAAATTTGAGGAATTCTCTTGCAGTGCTGGCTTGCACTGGAATCAGGTAATATTTACATCTGAAAACTTTCAAAAGGTCTCTCAATTCAAATTCTAACGTATATCATTAATAATTAAAATATCTAAACAGGAGAAACAAATATGCGACTGGCCACAAAGTGCAAAATGTAAAAAACAAAAGGTAACCACTACAACTCAAGCAACGTTGATGGATCCAATAATAATAGATTCAGATATTGAACCTGAAGTACCAATGAGACCTATTGAATCTTCACCTACCTCAGTTGCGTTTTTAAATCCTGCTACTAGACCACCACTGCTAAATTGTGAGTATTAAAACATTTTTTTATTTATGTCATTTCATTTGAAATGCTTTAACACTTTTAAAATTGATTAACCTGCAAAACTTTGTTACTATTGTTTGCCAATGCATCATTTTAACTGATTTTAATTCATTAATATCTAACTCCTACTATTTTACTACGCACACACATTCGCCACAAGCCACCGAGTTCGCGAGCAGCTTTTAAACTCTCTCCGTGTCATTGAGCTTTTTTACAATCTGCTTTTGAGTTTGCGATTGTAAAAAAGCTGCTTGAAACATAGAAAGCCAGACTAATTTACTCGCCATTCGCTGGCGTGTTGGCCTGTAAGCTTAAACTGTCAAAACGAAAAGATGCTCGCAACTAGTTTAACACACATCTAGTTAACTAGCTGTATTAATTAAATATTTCCGCATTCTAAAAGACAAGTTATATTACAAACTAATAAATAATATTACAATAAATATACTATATAACATCTCCATATCCTATCATATAAACCTACTAGCCTACCAAGCAGACGTTGTTCTGCCCTTTTCGACGATCCTTTGTCATGTCCTATTAAAAATCCTTAAATTCGCAAAAAAATTTTGGGTCACTCATGGGCAAAAAACTATCCTATCTCTCAAGTTGGGCCAAACTACACACTGTGTGCATATTTGATTAAAATCGATTAAGTAGTTTCGGAGTCCATCGCGGACAAACAACATGACACGTAATTTATATATATTAAGATTAACATATCCTTTGAAAAACGTGAGACGTGACCACAAACCTTACATGTAAGTTCTAGATGGTAGATTATTAGGTCACTTTTATTAAAAACAAGAACGTGAGTAAGGAGTCATGATTTTTCACGAAATCCTCGGTAGATCCGTCATTGTTATCTATTGGACAGTCAGGTATTATTTGTTTGCTGTATATTAGCTGGAAAGTGTACATATACGCGAATATGCCTCCATTACTGTTTACCGCTATATGTATTACTCTAAGGGCTAACTATACGTATGAAACACAAATAAGACTTCTAATTTTAATTATAATATCTTTTTCAGCGCGATATAAGCTAATTTGCTACTATACAAACTGGTCGTGGTATCGTCCTGGCCTCGGAAAATACGATCCTGAAGACATTGATCCTACACTTTGCACCCACATCATATATGGCTTCGCAGTCTTAGGACCCGACGGACTTATCACTCCGCACGATCCTTTCGCAGATGAGAAAAACCGTAAGTAACGTTTAATTAAATTTAATATTATAATAAAAAAATTATATTATAAAATAAATATTAAGTAAGTTAAGTTAAATAATTGATTCCCATGGCAGGTCTTTATGAAAAAGTGGTAGAATACAGGAAATATGGCATAAAGGTATCGATAGCAATAGGAGGATGGAATGACTCTGTTGGAGACAAGTATTCTGAATTAGTAAACGACCCTTCAGCTCGCTCAAGATTTGTGAAACACGTCGTCGAATTTATTGAAAGATATGGATTTGATGGACTGGACCTTGACTGGGAGTATCCAAAATGTTGGCAGGTTGGCAGCCTTTTATGTACTTTTTTCCACTTGTTTACGGGATATACTTATTTTAATTTATTATTATTTGGTTCCAGCCAACTTCATTTTTTTTTTCATTCATTTTTCTTCTTCTTTTTTTAAATCCAAATATTAGGCATACACTATCAAACGTTTTTTTTTCAGGCCGATTGTTCATTGGGACCAGATTCAGACAAGGAGGGTTTTGCTGATATAATTCGGGAACTATCAGCAGTATTAAAACCTAAAGGTCTATTATTGTCTTCCGCTGTATCGCCCAGCAAGCTTATAATTGACGCGGGCTATGATGTACCGGTTCTGGCTAGATATTTGGACTGGATTGCCGTAATGACATACGATTACCACGGACAGTGGGACAAGAAGACTGGCCACGTCGCTCCTCTATACTATCATCCTGATGATGACACGACGTACTTTAATGCAGTTAGTATCAAAATTAATGTAACCAATACTTTTATTACTATATTTTTTGCTATTTCACACTTTTTCTTCATCGTCGTCATCACATAAAAGTTCACTGCTGTCTCTATGTCTCATTAAGTCTCTAAGGAGGATTTGTAATAATTGTTAAGTTGGAGGTTTGGCGATTGCTGTATAAAAAGTCCCTACTCTGGACGCTGCTCCCTGTCGTGGGTGTAAAAATTTAATTTTTGCGTAAACGCAATCACTATACCATAAATTTTACACACTACAAATCAAATATTTTATTGCAAAAATCACATAAGTATTAGAAAAATGTATTACCATTGTGATATTGTTACAGAACTATACTATGCATTACTGGATGGAGAAAGGCGCCCCGTCTTCCAAACTTGTCATGGGTATACCCATGTATGGACAAACGTTTACAACTAAGTCATTATCTGACATAAGCGCTTTGAACATACCAGCTCTGTCTGGTGGGAACGCTGGTGAATACACAAAAGCTAAGGGTTTCTTAGCATATTACGAGGTATGTCTGATGTACTACAAAATGTCTGGACCGAAATTTTGGGTTTAATAAGCACATACTTTTATAAGCAATATCTATCTTATTAGTCCAATCCTTGTAACTATTGTTGTGAAAAAATTAATGTCACCTCTTAATTTTTTTAATATAAATTAAAGACTATGGCACGAGCTCGTTGGCAATTTTAGTTTTAATCAATTTACAACAATGCTCTGATACACTTATTACAGATTATTTCATGTAAATATGTAGTTTTGATGCATGACAATTTTTCATTGATAATCGATTATTTGGCGTTAAAAAATTAATTTTTTAGATCGATCTGAAACACCGGATCCAAATCGATCCAAGAAGTCGTCGAATTACCAACCATAACCTCTCTTTGAGGTGATCTGTGGCTTGGTAACGTTCAGCGTTAGACTTGTGATAGACTGTAATGAATTAACGTATGAATTGAATTTTGATTTATATAAGTAGTCCTAATGAATCTTAGACTAGGCAAATATTTTTAATAAAGGTAACTACATACATTAGAATACATTATTTAAAAATATCCGTTTAAGTTTCTTGCTGGTTCTATCTAGAAACTTAAAAGTGCCAAAAGTATAAATGACTTTTAAAAAATATTATTTATATTATATCATTATCATCGACATTAACATTACAATCCATCATAAGTCCAATAAAAAATGCCACAAAGTCCAATTCTGTATCCTAGCCTGAGCCTTTCTTATAAATCGACTTTTTATAATCTATAAACAATGAATATTATTATTCTATTTTATTCTATATTTGTGCCAGATTTGCGATCGCATCATGAACAGAAAATGGAAGGTTGTTAAGGATCCACTTCAACGAATGGGTCCTTTTGCCTACCAAGGCAACCAATGGGTGTCTTTTGATGACGTTGATATAATCAAGAAAAAAGTTAACTTCATTAAATCACTAGACCTTGCCGGTGGAATGGTTTGGGCACTTGATCTCGACGATTTCAAGAATACGTATGTCTCTCAAAATTACACTACTTACAATATTTTATTTAGAATTGTAAATACCCATTATTTCAGTACCTTAAACTCTACATTATAATTGTAGTACTAATATTTATTATGTGCCATAATTAACAAAAAATTCCATTACAAAGATTAATTGGCATATAACATTACAAAGGTTGATTAGTGTTTCGTTTTTTTTTGTTCTTTAAGATATATAATTAATTCCTTTGTTTTAAAGCTTATACCGCCTAGGGTTGCAAGTAAAAATACTGTTAATTTTACAGATGTAAACAGGGCCGACATCCACTTCTCAATGCGATAAAGGATGGCTTACTGGATCCAAATGTGGAGTACAATCAACCACAACCTGTACCTGACACATCTAACCAAATAGACGATGATCTCGAGGACATCGAAGTCAGACCTGGATACACGAAACCTAAACCAAAACCTAAGCCCACTACCGTACGACCGACAAAACAAACGACGCCATACACTACGACCACCACTACAACCACAAAGAAACCGACTCCTCCAGTTATTATGGACGAGGAAGAGCAATATAAAATTGTGTGCTACTACAGCAACTGGGCTTGGTACCGGTGCGTACACTTTTGTTACTTGAATAATATTATCTACTCGTGCATTAGCCGTGGTACAGCTGTATTATAACTACAGCACTCCGACTCCGGCATTGCCACGCGCTCATAGAATACCAGTGTAAAGTAGAAAGTTCTATGGTTAATATTGAGAACCGAAGACCCCTTTTATGGCTAACAGGGCATTACTTTTAGTCCTCAGAGATACCACTGAAGCATTTTGTTTTAATCGAGGATATATATAGGTGTCTATGGTCCACAGCATCCAGTTATTATGAGCTCTATGCTTGTTTATCTCCTCACCTTTATTTCATACAACAGGCTATTCAAAACTTACTGCTGAACCACGAGTCCTGTGTGTTTCATCAGGTGTTCACTCCACCTAGTGGGAGGTCACCCGTCAATGTAATTTCCAGTATGAGGCTAGGCTGCCACTCGAGAACCTTTCTTACTTGTCAGTTATAAGTTCTTCAACCTACATGGCCGAGCTAATGCCATTATGGCTATATAAGTTCCTCTTGTTCTTTTGCGGATATCCTGGTCAAGGATTTTATGGCACAGAGAAATTTCCGCTAGTCTCCGTTGAGACTCGATCTGGAGGATATTAACATAGACGATAGACATGATTTTCGTATTTTCCATGTTCATCTTATGAACTAACCGTTAGGAAACACAACTAAAATCGTTAAGCTTAATACTAAGGTCCTCCAGGGATTCTGCCATAATGATAATATCGTCATCTAGTTAAAAGTATAAGACTGATGCATTTTCCATAGAAGACATAATATGCATGATGTCGTATGATAAATCATAAACACTTACCCCTACCACCCAGAGGGGTAGGCAGAGGCACTACGGACCTACATTGGACACGATCCTGACACACTTCTATCGACTCCTTTACACCCATATACCTACGCATACACACTCGTGATTTAAGGGTACTCTTAATCTTGCTCATTTTCAATATATCGCCAATTTGGTCGATCAACTTTCGTCTAGGGCGTCCCTGCGCGACTCTGCCGTTTAATTCTGCAACATAAATTTACTTTGCCGCACTTTTTTTCGTTCATTCTTTCTACATAATCAAACCACCGAAGCATTCCTTTCTTAATTTTGGTCACAACATTGTCTTGCAAACCGCACTTTTCTCTTATCTTATAATCACTCACCTTGTCATTCAGATTCAGCCCTAACATACTCTTTAATGACTGCATTTCCATAGCATTAATTCTACACTCGTGCTTATTCAGCCACATCCAACTTTCACTACCATACATTAAGATAGGGATTAACACAGCATTGTGAATTGCCACATATGGCTTTTTTATTCATTTTGACTTCCCACAATAGAGTAAGGAGCCTCATTTACTCTATGTTGTTCTATATCCTCATTATGTCTACCATCCCTATATAATAAGTAATAGATTTAATTGCACCTCATCTTGCTATTATTTTTAATACTAGTATCGAATCTTTGAAATTTTAGACCTATTTCAGTACTACCAACTTTTAGTAAAATTTTTGTAAAGATAATTTTAGATTAATTGTTAATTTTCTTTGAATAAAAATCAATTTGGTTTCACAAGGGGTCGCTCGACAACTAACGCAGGTGTCGAGCTTATGAAATATATTTTTCATGCCTGGGAGAGTTCACTAGATGCCTTAGGTATTTTTTGTGATCTTTCCAAGGCTTTCTATTGTGTTCGTCATGAGATATTAATCAGGAAACTGCAACATTAAGGTATCGAAAATATTGCACTTAGACTTATTATTTCATATTTAAATAACAGAAATCAAAAGTCGTTACCAATGGTAAAGGTTCCTCCGGATCAGTAGTATCCGGGCGTTCCTCGGGGCTCGATCCTTGGCCCATTCCTGTTCTTAGTCTTTATTAATGATTTACCTTATCTTTTAGGGGACAATCACGATATAGTATTATTTGATGATGATACCTCATTAATTTTCAAACTCAATCGACAGTCAATTAATATTGACGAAGTAAAAAATGCTCTATCTAATCTTGTACATTGGTTTAACGCTAATAATTTGCTCTTAAATGGCAATAAGATCAAATGTATTAAATTTACAATACCTAATGTTAAACATTCAAATACCAATGTGCTCTTAAATCGCGAAGAGTTAAGTCCTGTGGATACCACTGGTTTTTTGGTATTAATTACTATTGACGCTAAGCTTCAATGGGGCTTCTATATATCTAAATTAGCGGGCAGACTTAGTTCTGCAGCATATGCTGTGAGAAATATTAGAAAACTAACCAAAGTTGAGACAGCGAGATTAGTTTGTTTTAGTTACTTTCATAGCGTAATGTCTTATGGAATCTTACTATGGGGTAATGCGACTGACAGTGAAATCATATTTGTTTTGCGATAGAGAGCCGTACGGTCGATTTATAACTTAAATTGTAAAGAATCAAAAAAAACAACCACACAAAAAAAAAAACTCTTACTTAACTTAAAATATAGACTCCACAGAATTAGTAATTCATTTATGGGGCAATGCGCTTTTACAAGAAAATCGCATAAAATGTACAATATTTGGCATTAAACAAATTTAAATGTTTTATTAAAGAAAAATTGTGCAAATAGAGTAATTATAATATAAATGCATACGTAAATGAAAATAACCCCTGGGAATGAGGTGATCGCCACCATGCTGGTTCTATAAAAATTCATACAAAAATTGTACAAAATAAATTTATTGTGAATTGAAATATGTTAAAACAAGTTCCGCTGGGTTTCTTGCTGGTTTTTCCCAGGACAGAGGTGTTTTTTTTTTTTTTTGCGAATCAGTGGTAAATAAAAAAATACGTTCAATAAGTATTACTTATACAATAATCTATATTAAATAAAAATCGTTCATTTCATTTCATTTCATAATAATCGTACCTTTTTCAGTTCAGTAGCTTAAAACGTCTTCCAATGCAACGGTAAAGGGTTTCGGGGATATAACGTCACCTTGTCTTACAACACTGGAGTTGGATAGATTTCGTGCTCTGGTTTCATACTCTGATAAACATCGTGGCGTTTTTTCGAGCAATTCAGTATCGCAATATACACACTGTCAAATTGGATTACTGAAGGAACTGTAGTAAACACATTTTTATTTAATCGAAGGCCTGCTGATAGTCTACAAACATCGGATATAGCGGCAGATTATACTCTTCAAACTTATAAATAATCAGCTATTTACCTCACAGAATATAATATTATCCTACGCTTTAACCTTATTTGTATAAAATTTTACATTCTTCATTCAAAGGAAAGATCAATATTTCAAAATATAAATCCTCTCTTTTAGACCGGGATCAGGAAAATATACTCCAAATGACATTGACCCATCATTGTGCACGCACATAGTTTATGCCTTTGCGGTCCTCGACAGCAGCAAATTGGTGATAAAACCACATGACAATTGGTTGGACGTTGAAAACAGTACGTATTTTTTTACCAAAATTAAACTACTTTTAACAACATGGAAAATATGACAAAATATTCTATTCACCACCAATTTTATTTACAGAATTCTACGAGAAAGTTGTTGCTTTGAAGAGTCAAGGTGTAAAGGTGTTGCTAGGTTTAGGTGGTTGGAAAGATTCAGCAGGAGACAAATATTCAAGACTTGTGAACAACCCTTCAGCTCGAAGGAAATTTGTGGTACACGCTTTGGACTTCATCGAACAGCACGAATTCGATGGGTTGGATCTCGATTGGGAGTATCCACGATGCTGGCAAGTAAGTATCACTACAATATGCCAACATCGGTCTAACCGAACTACTTTATTAAAAATAATATGATTAAAAGTGATCAAAACTCGCTTTATGTCATGAAATATACTTTATATCGAGTACCAAGTGTCTCAAAAGAAAGTCTATATTTGTTTAGTTTACTGCGTGAACGCAACGATTCGGAGGGGCGCGGGGGATATGTTAATCGGTGGCCTGGTACTTCGGAATTTAGTCACCATGGACTTGGAGCGAATTTCAGGAGTGTTTTGCGCATTGTGCGTACGCGAATTTTACAAACATGGTAATTCTGCGACTATAGCGCAAAGAAATTCCTCATATATTCGAAGTTTTTGTCACTTAAATGATGCGCCAAGCATTCCTATCATTCGGAAATGGGTAAAAAAGTTTAAGGAGACCCGTTCAACATTAAATAAACAAAACCCTATTATTTATTCTGTGCCCAAACCCGGACACTCGATGTTATTGAGAATGGACGAGGACGTGGAACGTGTTAATCAATCTGCTCGTGATGATCCCGACCTCTCCATCCGGAAGCCTGCAAGTGGTTTGAATTTGCATAAATCATCGCTACACCGCATTTTGCACAAAGATCTAAAGCTGTACCCATTTAAAATGTAATTAGTACAAGAAGAGAAATATCAAGATTCCATTCAAAGGTTAGAATTCGTAAACCAGGCAATTGAACGCTTACAAACGTTTACCAACAGCTTGTTGTCGGATGAAGCTCGTTTTCACCTAAACGGTCACGTAAATAAGCAGAACTGCTGCTACTATAATGCAACCAATCCGAAACGCTAGGCATTAAAAACCCCTTCATTCGCCAAAGGTGACCGTATGGGCTGGAATGTCATCGCGAGGAATTATCGGCCCTTACTTTTTTGAAGATGAAAGGGGGCGTGTACTTACTGTGAATTCAGAGTGTTATGTGAGAATGTTAGATCAGTTTTTTTTTTGTTGTCTGAACTGCAAAATTTTCCTGGCTATAACTAAAACACATAGATCCAACAGGATGAAGCAACTGTCACAACACATTCAATTTGTTTCAGCCACGAGTTCGTGAAATTTTTCCAGGCAAAATAATCTACAGGATAGGTGACGTTATTTGCCCCCCCCCCCCAGTCTTGATTTGGCGCCTATGGACATTTTCCTGTAGGGTTTCCTTGAATCAAAAGTTTACGTTAGTAAACCAACTTCCCTGGGCCAGTTAAAATTAAATATTCGCCACGAAATGGCAGCTATCACGGAGCATACGAGTACGTGCCAAGCCGTCATGAGTTATTTTACAAATATGTTATATATTGAATAGCGTCGGAACCAAAGGTAGACATTTGGACGACATTATATAATAAAAATCCCAAAGAGTGAATTTTCATAATCAATAAAAAAATAGCCAAACGGCTTTTTTATCGCTTTTTTTATATATAAACTTTTTTGAGACACACCTCGTAGAATTTATATCGAGTCTTCCGTGTTTTGTTTTACGACCATTTATAGAAAGAATTATCTACTAAGGAACACTGGAATAAAAGCTTAGTAAAATGACATTGGTTACAGGTTGATTGCGATAGAGGACCAAGCACCGATAAGCAAGGTTTTGCTGATCTTATCACAGAGCTACGTTCCGCATTTGTTCCTCGGGGTCTTCTGCTTTCTGCTGCAGTTTCGGCCAGCAAACAAGTTATTGATGCCGGTACATACGATTTACCCTCCTAAAACTTTTGTGTTGATATTTTTTTTACATAATTCAACAATAAATATGTCTTAGGTTACAACGTGCCGGTTTTGGGCAAGCAACTGGACTGGATAGCCGTAATGACTTATGATTATCACGGACATTGGGATAAAAAGACAGGTCATGTAGCACCCATGTACGCTGGACATGACGGTACTGACCAAACATTCAATGTGGTACGTTTAGATATTGATTTATTAAGATATTGATGTTACAATAAACAATCCAAATACCTTTGGATTTGGAGATTTTTATTCGTATATTTACCATATATCAGCTGTATGGTATTTTTACAACAGTATGTTATTTTCAGAACTTCACCATTAACTACTGGATCAAGAAAGGTGCTCCTCGTGAAAAGCTTGTAATGGGTATACCATTTTACGGCCAATCGTTCTCGTTAATTGAATACGGTGGTAATGGCTTAGGGGCACCTGCATATGCAGGTGGCGATCCTGGAGACGAGACTCGAACGCGAGGCTTTTTGGCTTTCTATGAGGTACACAAAATAATTGATTACAGATAGGTACTAATAAGTACTTAAACATTTTTAATACACTCAATTATCTTATGTTCTTTAGATTTGCGAACGCATTAGAATGCGAGGATGGAATGTTTACCGCGACCCTTCGGGCACAATGGGTCCCTATGCTACTAAAGACGACCAGTGGGTGTCTTTTGACGATGATTTCATAACCCGTCACAAGGCAGAGTACGTCCGTGCCATGGGCTTAGGCGGTAGCATGATTTGGACTCTCGACTTAGACGATTTTACTGGACAATATTGTGGTTGCGGCAAGTCACCCCTTCTGTCAACCATCAATCATGTTCTACGTGGGCGGGAAGCGCCGTCACCTTGCTCATTGGAAGAAAGTAAATATTCCTAAGAATAATTCGTACTCATTTTTGTGTGTATAACAAAAATCATTATAACTTACGCTTAAGTCAGATTTTCGAATTATTATTGCGTTATCTAAGTAAACAAACTTATAAAACCGTAAAACAAAACTACAAGTTCTAGAGTTATCAAAGCGCAATTATATCAGTTAGTTTACATAATATCTAATTACTATTATATATTTTTGTAGTTGAAAGTCCATCAACGGGTGCTAGCACAGAAACATCTGTAACTACAGCAACATCTGCTCCAGAAAAAGAGAATGACAGTGAAATTACCTCTAACGTAAGTTATCTATGATGATTATTATCCCTTGAAGCGAAATTCGGTCTGACAACATTTTACATTTAACAACTTAAACTATATAGGATCTTATACGAATATAAAACTAATGATTGCTATCATGTTTGGTTTCTTCAAAATCCTTTAAGAAAAATATAATGGTGTTGATTAGGGTTCAATCTAAAACACTGGGTTTTTTCACACAAGCAGGTGCGGTAAGTTAGTAATAGATATTCAGATCCATTTTTACCTTAGATTCCGTCTAGATTGTCACCACGCTCTTACCTTTCAGCCTATTATGAATGCACCACGAATAGGTCAGCTTGACCGGGTCAGGCAGGACCACATTTGCCCAAAATACCAGATAGAAATGGCTGCATAATGCTGCTTCTGGTAACGGTAACAGTAAACCATATTTAAAGGTAAATAGGCATTTCTTCCTAGCCCTTGGGGTGACAACGAATCTGCATTATGGCATCTACGTATGACCTAGTTAACTATGTGTACGTTGGCATCTATACTTCTATAGAATAAGAATGATTCTAAAGATTAAGATAGCACTTATCATTTTGTAAGATTTAACGTTTTTAAAATTTTAGGAGGACTCATTGGAAGGTAAAGAGTGTTCGGGAATAACATTCAAGGCGGACGACTCTGATTGCAGCAAGTATTACCTTTGTATCAACGGTCAGTACATCGAACTCACTTGTCCCGCGCCTTTAGTCTGGAACAAGGTAAAATAATACTTAGATTTAGATTTCATTATTACATAATATTCAAATTAAATTCTTAAACAATTAAGGAAAAAAAGCATTAGATATATTCTAATGAGATTTAAAAACATAAAAAAAAAAAAATCAAAAAAAAAAAAAAAAAAAAAAAAAAAAAAAAAAAAAAAATCTATTAGATATAGTTGATGAAAAGGACATAGAATAATTTACGTCGATACGTATATATAGAGCCAGCGAAGTAGTAAGCTTGAGCTAATCTTCTTATATAAAAATCCTGTGTCACGATATTTGGTCACGCTAATCTCCGTAACCTCTTAACCGATTTTAATAAAATTTTGTAAATGTGTATTGCTTGTTCCAAATTGAGAGATACGGCAGTTTCCTGATAAGTGATCCTCAATATTTTTTATTGTGAATTTAATGATTTTTTTATAGGACATAGTGTCATCGGATAGGGCAAAACAACGTCTGCCTGGGCAACCAGTATTTTATAAATTAATACTGAATTAAACAAATTTTGCGGATTTTACTGCGTTATATATATTACATACTTAGTTATAGTATAGTTATATTTACCGCATATTATAAATTTAATAAGCATGTTCATTTCAATCACAGTGACACAATTCTAGTTAATAACAGAAGTATCAGTAAGTTTTTTTTTTATATTACTGATGGTTCCGATACCGTATCAGAGATTTGAATATCATAATATAAATAGAGGGTACATAGTTATTTTAAATATTAAATTAGTATTAAGTGTTCCAACGTTACTTATACCTTAATATGCAGCTGCTATTGGAGTACGCGATTAATTTCGAATAATCACACCATTCAATTTTTTCAGAATCACTGCGACTGGCCGGAGAAGGCTAAATGCAAGGGCAAATCAAGCCTCAGGCTTAACGACGAAGAAACAACGTATGAAAACAAAGATAAACCTATAATAGCATGCTACTTCACAAATTGGGCTTACTACAGGTATTGATCATACAATCTTTATGAAATTTATTCACTAGGGGTAACTTATTAAAGTTCCGATAAGTGATGACAGATGACCAAAAAAGGAATATTTCTCAGCATAAGCAAATGTTTTATTTCTTCCTAAGGGAAGAACTTCACCGTTAGATCTTTCTTACTAAGGTAAGAAAGATCTCATGGCGTCCGATATAGCGGAATACCATCTCGTGTATGCCAAATGTAACCATATCTGGTCAATACCAGCAATCTGTTGGCCAATTCGCCTGCCAAGCGTGATGACTATGGCAAATACAATCGGAGAGACTCAGCAGTGGACTGTTACAGATTGATAAAAATTTTCGATATGTTTGTCAAAATACTTTATACACAACGATTCGGTCTTGGCATTTTTTTTTCTTTAAATCAGACGTATACGAAATGGAATATCGCCAGATTTAAGTACAGGCGTAGGCCATCAGATTTACACTGTCGCCTCTTTCATACGTCCATAAAGAAAGGAGTGGTAGATTATTTTACCATCGTGGTTTTCGGATTTAAGGATTTCGAGTACAAATTATGATGTTATAGTTGGTCTTTACATATATTACCATTGATGTGTCTCTAAGTTATCGTGTAACTTCCGATTGAGATCATATTCACACAATATAATATTTGTTTTAGACTATGGTTTTAAGTATACTGGTATCCGATAGGTGGCGCTGTATTCAATTTACCAACAAATTCTATTTATTGATCAAAATGACTCATGTTCACAATATAAAGTGGTTTAATGTCAAGAAAGAAATTCACATAATCTAGACCCGATAGTTGGCGCTAGGGCTAAATCATAATACATTTTATATTTACACCAACTGTCCATTGGTGGTTGAAGGTGCGGCTTGTGACCATGATCTCCTGAGTTCAAATCTCAGGTGAACCAAAAAAATCTGTTACTGGATTTTTCTGTTAAGAAATTTTAAGTATCAGTCCGAAGTTAAGGTGTTGAAGATATTTCAACCCCGTGCCTATCGATATACCCACCATCATCAGTATATACCCACCGAAAAGGGCAAAATAACGTCAACCGGGCTATTTAGTATTGGTTTAAAAAAAAATCAAAAACACACACGTGTTATGCGACCAATTTCTAAACAGAAATATATATGAATAAATATACAAAATATACATTTACATCGTTCTTAATTATATAAAAATTCAATTAATTGAATCAATTTAAATAGCTAACAAAAAATATTTACAGACCAGGAAAAGGTAAATTTGGTCCTGAGGAAGTGGATGCGTCGTTGTGCACGCATATTATATATGCTTGGGCGCATCTCAATAGCAGCACATACAAATTGGTTCCTGGCGTACCAGAGCTTGACGTGGATAATGGTAAATTTTGACAGACTATTATTAAACACAACAATTTTATTACAAATCTTTATACAGGGTAATTGTTCAAAGAGTAGCCAAATTTTAAAGTTAAATTCAAATATGAAATATTAATAAACCGTTATTGCAGTTTTTGAAAATACGAGTAAATAAAGCTTCTACTTTTATTTGACATATCCCAAATTGAATGTGATTTATGGCCTTTTGCCTTTTTTAATACCGATGTGTGCGTGCGCTGTAAAATCAGTTAAAATATTGCATTTCCCACGCATTTTGAATTTGAAAGATAAAAAGGACAGAATGTTTGAGATTTCTTAAATTAATTTATTCTTCACCATTTGCCTATATTACTTATTTCGAACCTTCTCTGCAAATTTGGCAGGTTATTTCAAAATAGCCCTGTATAAGTCAGAAAAACCAAATATATGTACCTATATGATTGATTAATATTGTTTGCTTTCAGATTTTCTCGGTAAAATATCGGAAATGAAATTAGAAGGCGTTAAAGTGATCCTCGGGGTCGGTGGACTGCAAAACTCTCGGGAAAGTCAATGGTCTGAAATGGCTTCAAGTCCTGAGACGAGGAAAACTTTCATAGAATCAGCTCTTTCTGTCATAAAACGATGGAATTTCGATGGGTTGCATGTTGCTTGGCAATATCCTGTTTGTGATCAAGTAAATGTGTTTTACATTATTAATAACGTTTTACTTATAGTGTAGAATATGGCACTTGTCGTAAATTTCACAGTATGCGAGCAACCTGGGTTCGATCACCGCCGGCACCAATGACTTTATTGCAATTTTAAGTGCTGATTTACCACGTGGTCGTTAGTGACGGAAACCATAGTGAGGAGATCTGAATGTTTAAGGAATAAAATATTTTAAAGAAATGTGCAGACCGCCAACATACACTACGACGAAATTATTGCTCCATAACCCTCTTATGGATTTATCGAAAATGCGATATTTTAAAAAATATCAACAGTCCTAATTTGAACTGATCAGTTGGAATGGTCAGTTGAACTGACCGTGTGTGGCGACCATTAGAAATGATAGGAGGCTTGTATCTATGCAGTGGGCTGTAACTTCACTGTAATTTATTCCCTAAATAGTGACACCTTAAATCATACGCACATTCACATGTGTCGACTTCACTTATAGTTAATCGTTTACATTACAGTATCGTATACATAATATTAGTTGTCTCTTTACCTGTCTCACTCTTTTTCCATTTAGTAATTTCTTGATGAGTGAAGCATTTCATATGTTGACTTTAATCTTAATTGAGTAAGTCTGTTGAATTATGTTATAAAAATGATTGCTATTCTACTTTTTCAAACTTCTGGTAGCTAATAATTACGAAATAAATGCATTAAAGATTAAAATTCTAAATAAATTAAGAATGTTATTGGCATAGACGCCGATGAATGTTTAACAGTCCCTGGCAGCAATGCCAAACAATGCGTGCAAGTAAATCTACTTTTTTGCAAGATTTGTACTGAGCACCGCACTCGCGTCAATACTGTAACATATAATTAAAGGAGATACATCTTCACCAATTTTATATTAATCAGTAAGAAAATATTTTGAAGCCTCAATCAGTTTTATTCCAAGAACAGTGAATGTTATGTTATCGATCGACACAGGTGGATGGTTACTAAATGTTTTGTACCACTAGGAATGTCCCTCGTCGCCAGGCTAATTTACATCTATATCTATACAAATAACTAAAGTTAAAGTGTCTGTTTGTAATTTCAAAATAACAGCTTTTTACTAAATGCGTATGAAAGTATTTACGGCACTTATAAGAAAAAAAATAATTTAATTTTTTTTATCTGCCTGTCTGTTCGTTCCGGCTAATCTCCGTTATGGCTGGGGCGACTTTGATGAGACTTTCACTGGTAACTGGTTTTATAAGCCCAAGTTACTCCAATTTAGGCTACTTTTATTTTAGAAAAAGAATTAGGTTTCCACGCAAAAATTAAAACCCATGAACTTCAATCGTAATAAATTCCACGCGGATAAAATTACGTGGAACAGCTAGTTCGGTATAAGATTTTACCGCCTATATCAATATCTCACGACATGTATCGAAAGCCGTGAGAAAGTCACCTTAGGGATGAGATAGAGTCATGTATTCTCATACGCTACGACCACGATATATTTATTATTTACCTATAGTACCTCTATTTATATTTAAAACATTAAATGTTTTTCAAATACTGTTCACCATTTCAGGAATCGTGTACCGAAATAACATATGACAGTTCTGACAGGGACAATTTTAATGCATTGCTGTCGGAACTATCAAAGATACTACGGCAACACAACTTAGAACTATCAGCCGCTGTATCGCCAAATCCTCAAGTAGCTGCTGTGGCATACAATCATGAAATCCTAACAGCAACTCTTGACTGGGTGGCAATTGCTGCCAACGATTATTATGAATCATCAAACAAACGCACGGCGTATTTATTGCCATTGCAGTCAAGTCCATCATCGGAAATTGGAGACTTTGTAAGTATTTCTTTCCTAGCTTAATTTTATTTATTTATTTATTCATTGATTTTCATTTGGGACGTTTAGACAAACGTAAAGACGAACGGCAATAACTGGATGCTTGAAACCTAAAATTGAACTTAGTGGAAACTAGGGACAGGACTATCCAACAGTAAACTGTCTCAGACTGTTGATAATAATGATGAAAATCGTTGCTCGGTAGCGTAGTCACCGAGCGTTAGGCTGCGGAGCTTCGGGGCCAATGGTTCGAATCCCGCACGAACCAAATATTTGTATTACTTTAAAATAATTGATCCGCGTCTGGATGGTTTGTCCATTTGCAATTTATGTATTTAAATCGCTTCCACGATACATGACCAATGTTCTACTATAGGTAATGTCTTCTTTTTATAAAGTCGATAATATATTTATTTTACTGCAAAAAGTTTATCTGAAAACTTTAAATTATCCAATGATTACTAACAAATCAAAATAGGAAAATCCTCGTCATTGATGTAACAAGAAATGGGACCAAATGTGTTGTCCGCACTCCAGCAATATATCATAGTTATGTGCTTCATAACTATTTTCTAAAGCCCCTTTTTCTATGATCATATTATGATTGCATACATTTATTATTCATCTTCTTCTTGGTCGGCCCATAATAGTCCACTGCTGGACATGGGCTTTCTTTTGTTTAATCGCAACGAACCATCATTTCGCATTACATACGCGAATTGACTATTCGCTGTACCCGAAGTTTGACGCTGCTCTCTACCGTTAGTATGGGTATTTTACGTCTGGCGTGCACGACGATCGGAAGCCAGACCTTCTTGTTATTTGCAATAGAGCAATTATTGCATCTTACGACACTCACGAATCGGAATAAGGCTGACAAACGACACTGTCCACCTGATGGTAAGTGGATGCTGTGTCCCATAGACATCTACATCTATGCTCGATTATGAATCAAAATACAGATGCGTCACCTTGTGGAATGCCTCGTTTCCAGTAAAAAGGTTCTCCGGTTGTAAACACTCACTATGCGAAACAGTAGCATTGAGCTGCAATTTTACGCTTCTATTTTGTTAGAGTGGGGTCTTTCTCCGCCCCACCCCCACCCCATAATATAACACCCCATTCGTGCAACAACCATAATATGGCTGCAACGTGGCTCTCTCACGTATAAAATTAAAACTAAGACTAAACTATTAACTTTAATAATTTTTTTCCATATTTTGTTACTACTTATCCGAAAAAAATAAGCTCTTTTCTGTAAGCTTATTAAAAGCTTAATAATACATTTCAGAAGTCGATCTTAGCTTACTGGTCTGCATTGGTGCCCTCGCGCCAGCTGGTGATGAGCGTGCCAGCATATGGCCGCTCCTACACGTTAAGGAATGAACAGTACGTCCTCCCTGGATCTCCTACCACAGGGGCTGGTGATGCTGGGAATTACACGCAAGTGCCTGGCTTTATGGCGTACTACGAGGTTACTTAATACCTTAATTACTATGTTACTAAGCTATTACCGTAACGATATTTATGCTATCTTTACAATTCATATCTGCTTTTAAAAAAGTTAAGCCATTTAAAACAAAAAAAAAAAAAAAAAGAGATTTAATTAGTAGTATTGATGAATATAATGTAACAGTTTGTATGTTTGTCGCTCGAGCAATAAGGATTAATTTCAAATCGGAGCAAAACCTTATACAGAAGGTATAAATATACAATTTTACTTGAAAACTAAGATATACTTTAAGTTTTGCAGCTATAAACTCCTTTAAGTTAGCGTATTCGATTTTTTTTTTGTATATAGATTCAATTTAATTAAAATTAAACCTTTTAGTAAACCCTAACTACATCATCAACAAGTGAGGCAAGGAGTAATAACTATAATTGAATTTTTTTTTTCAACACATTTTCTTCGTGTTGTAGATTTGCGAAGGAATAAAGTCGCAGTACTGGGAAGAGCTCTCTATCGACGAAGGCACGTGTGCCGTGCACGGGTCGCAATGGGTGACGTATTTGCGGCCACAAGAAATATATAGAATCGTATCCACCTCATCGAGATTGGGGCTACGCGGGGCCGCCTTATGGGCACTGGATCTGGACGACTGGCGAGGCAAATGCTCTTGTGAACCATGGCCACTCCTAACTGCGTTAAGACAGGGGCTTCTTGAACCCAACATTCCGCCAATGTTATGTTAAGTTATAAACTTACTATGAATATCATAGTTGTCTTAATTAATACCAAACCTATTTCAAACAAGTTACCTTTAAGAAAAGTTAGAATTTTCGTTAAGCTACTTCAAAATAATGGACAAAAATGTAAATGGAGTCGTTATTTTGTTTTTGTAACAGTTTAAATATAAGGCACGTTACTTGCAATATGAGCTGCAACTTCTTTCGATACTCGATTATCTCTAATTATCGTTTATAAGAAATCTCTGTAAATTACATAGTTTAAGATAATTGCAATTAGGTACCTCTACGTTTTTTGTGATATTTTGTGTAAGGTTTATAAGTTATTTCGCATTCCTGAAATTTTGTAATATATACTGCGATATAATAAAGCGAAATAAATTACAATAATAAATCTGTACATATTAGTGTAAATTTACAGTAGAAAATACTCTGAATGTATCTTTTTACTAAAAATTAAACCTTTTTATAACTGTGTTACAAGAAATAATTTTCAGTTTTGGCACCCTTAAGCCTGAGGAATCCTCATATTATAAATAAACATGTAACAAGGTACCTCCAATGCCATAATTATACAAATGTAAATGTATTAAATATAAAAATATATTTTAAAAAGAAATGAATAATACTTCTTTATTTATTGATCTATGTTGGAACTAACCTTATTCTTGCAATCCATTTTTTCCTCATTTTGAAATTTAAACTATATTTTCGTCTATTCATAACTTATACATTTCTTTCCCTAAGCAGTAAACTTAATTCTTTTAATAAGCTTACAGAAAAGAGCTTATTTTTTCCGGACAGAAAAAAAAATTGTGACTTATTTTCTGTCATCTACATATTTAAAAAAGATGTCATGTTGTGTGAATAAATCATCCTTCAGCGTACATTCCTAGCGACTCAACTTCAGACACAAGTTTGTTTCGGCACTCGACGACATTTTCCCGAAAAATTTTTGCACGGCCAACGTATAATTATCATAGAATACTATCATACGTACATAAAAGAACGGGGGTGGGCGGAGCCAGTGTAGTCACTGTCACTAACATGTCAATTCACACGTATAATAATACGTCAACACGAGATTTGTTTTGACGTTAAAATCGTTTCCAAATATGGCATGCAAAATATTTAGAAATTGACAAATTGCACACTATTTACAAATAAATATGTATTAAAATTTAAACGATTTTTTTAATGATGATCTTGATCATTAACCAAAAGTCTAAAATGTGTAAATTTACTTAGTCTGTCAACACAGCAAATCGGGTTTGTAGTAGTGATAATACGTCGTAATTGCTTGTATGTGTGCTCCCGGCGCCGATCCTCGTACAAAATAAGGTTAACGGCCTTTCTATTGTGTATTATAGTATTCTATGATAATCATCGTCAATGCTGTCATTTGCATAGCAATGAATGTTACTGCGATAAATAATTAATAAGCTGAAGGAACAGGGTAGGTGTTAGCATGCAGCCTTGTAAAGCATCAGCATTCACAGTTTTGGAATCGGGTATGCATCGTCGATCGACTACATCCTAAGTGCAATCTGTGAGAAAATTGGTGACCCAATTAGAGTCGTGGGTCAAGAGTGTGCACTTAAGCTTTGAAACGCGATAAACTCGAAAATTTTATAGTGGATGAAACAAAAAGATGTTAATTACTTACAGTGTTTATTAAATCAATAATTTGTGTACAAAAACAATATCATCAATGCCACGATTGATTAGAGATAAAGGGAAACAAAATATAGTCGAAATGCGTACACTTATCCCAGTATAGGAGTAACTGTGCGCAGCAATGTGGTTAAGTGTAGCTTAAAATTATGAGATTCTGCGCTATCAATTGTAAACCAGACTCAAAAAACATCTACTTACTATGTATACAACAATTAAACACAAAAATAAACTTTAATGAGATCAACTTTAAAACTAACAAAAAAAAACATATTATTCATCAACACAACATGTATCACATAAAAAAGGCCGTGTCCAAAGCAGTTCTAGCCACCAGTAGTCACAAACGCTACATTGAATCCAGTCATCATTCGGTAGATATACTTGTATTTCGCCACACAAAGAATAGTAGTATTCATTCTCCCCGTTTTCTGTTCTCTTATTTCAACAGTCTTATTATTGGCAGTATTATTAGTTTTGGTTCTAGTTTTCTTTGTGTTATGTCTAAGTTTTAAATTTTCTTTTTTCTTCTTTTCCAATTCTTATTTAAAATTTGCAATAATTGACTTCTTATCTTGTTTTCTTCGATTTTGTATTTTCACCTCTGGCAAATATAAAATGTAGCTAAAGTGGCCGCAGTTATGTCTGTTGCTTATTGCGATAAAGAAGTGTTTAAGAAGTTATTTTGTGGTAACAGTTCAGGTGATATCAGTCGGGTTTCAGTGGTTATCAAAGGTTCTTGTACGGGTTGAATAAGTGACGTGGATACTGTAAAGCTTAGCAAAGAAAAACCTGAACCAGGACCAGAAGTTTGGGATAGTGTAGATGATAAAGACATTACTATAATTGACAAAACTTGAACTGGTTGTGTAGAAGATTTGGATACTATTATGCTCGTTAAAGTATTTATAGATAATATTAAGATTGCAGCTTCTTGCGTAGGCAAAATTCGTTCATCAACTGAGCTATTTCTGTTTGTCCAATCACACAACCTGGGTGGTGGCTTAGCCACTTATTACATTCATAAGCAAATTTAATTTTCAATGGGCCAAAAAATCTACAGATCCAGTGGTTGCATATTATGGCTACTGTGTGATGGTAAGGATTTACAAGGATTCTACTATCGTGGCAGAAATTTACTGCAGCTAAAGAGAGATGGCTGCTGTGGTTACCTAAAATTAACAAGATAGGATTATCATTTGTTAGCGGTTGCACATTATCTTTAAAATGACGCTGGTATTCTATAAACAGGTCAGTATTTACGAAACCTGAATCAGATACCATAGAATTCTTATTTCAGGTACATTGTTAAGTCGTGCAGGCCTGGGTATCATCACCGGACAGGCCTGCTGACGTCAATGATGAGGCAGGGTGGTTCCAGGAGGCCATGTCCGAGATATATGACGTGGCAATGCCCCGCGTCCGGCCAGGAAGCGCCCGGCGTCAGGTGTATTGATGGTCGCGTGAGCTGACGTCTCTGCGCGAGGCGTGTGTCGCCGCGCGGCACCTGTACGCCAGGCATCGCAGGCTCCGCATTCGTTCACCGAATGCGGCAGCCATTGAGGCGGAGCTGTACGAGGGATACAGAGCGGCGAAGACCGCCCTCCGGGAGGCTGTCCTGCGGGCCCGGGATCGGGTCCGTGAGGAGATGCTGGAGACTCTCGACAGAGATCCGTGGGGGCGCCCTTATAAGATGGTGCGGGATAAACTCCGCACCTGCCCCCCCCCCCCGCTGACGCAGAGTCTCCGGCCTCAGCTCGTGGAGGACGTGGTGAGCGCTCTGTTCCCTGCGCGAGGGGAACATCCGCCCCCGCCTATGGCTCCGCCACCTGCGGTGCCGGAAGCGGACCACCAGGACGACGACGACGACATCCCGGAAGGGACCGGGGTAGACCTGAGAGTGGCGGTACGTAGGCTCAAGGCCAGGAATACCGCCCCAGGACCCGATGGCTTGCCTGGCAAAGCCTGGGTCCTGGCCTCGGAGGCTCTCGGGCCCCAACTGGAGGGGCTCCTAAGCGCATGCTTGGAGAGAGGCCAATTCCCGCTTCGTTGGAAGACGGGGAAGCTGGTCCTCATTCGGAAGCCGGGGCGCCCTGTGGACTTTCCGTTCCGGCCCGTGGTGCTGCTAGACGAGGTGGGCAAGCTCTTTGAAAGAGTCATTGCAAACCGCCTCGCCAAGCACCTTGCGGGGACGGGGCCGGGTCTTGCGGAACACCAGTTTGGTTTCCGCAAGAGGCGCTCTACGGTGGACGCCATCATGCGCGTGAGAGCCCTCACGACGGGGGAAGTGAAGTGGCCAGAGGGGGGGTGGTCTTGGCGGTGTCTCTCGACACCGCCAACGCCTTCAACTCCATGCCCTGGAGCTGCATTAGGGAGGCACTCCGGTATCACCGGGTGCCGACCTATCTCCGTCGTATAGTCGGGGACTATCTGTCGGACAGGGCCGTCATCTACCCCGGTCGCAACGGTGAGTGAAACCGGCGAGAGATGTCGTGCGGTGTCCCACAGGGTTCGGTTCTGGGGCCACCTCTGTGGAACATCGGTTACGACTGGGTGCTGCGCGCCGACCTCCCTACCGGCGTCAACGTAGTTTGCTACGCTGACGACACGCTGGTACTGGCACAAAGGGGGTCGTACGAGGCGGCGGCGGAAACTATGACACGCGGGGTTGCGATAGTCGTTGAGAGGATTCGGCAACTTGGTCACGAGATGGCTCTGCACAAGTCCGAGGCCATGCACTTCCTTGGTCCTCGGAACAGGCCACCACCGGGATCCTCAGTGATGGTAGGAGGGGTATCCATCGACGTCGAGTCGACGCTGAAGTACCTAGGACTCGTCCTCGACGGCCGATGGAACTTCGTTGAGCACTTCCGACATTTGGCTCCCAAACTGGAACGGACCGGGGCTGCATTCAGTCGGCTACTGCCGAACCTAGGGGGGCCAAACGCCTCCTGCCGGAGGCTCTACGCGGGGATCGTGCGGTCCATGGCCCTTTACGAGGCCCCGTTGTAGGCGCGTGGTTTGGCGCGGCTTGCCGTCCACCACCTGAACGCGCCCCAAAGGGTGGTTGGCGTGAAAATGGTTCGCGGCTACCGCACGATCTCTCGCGAGGCGGCGAGCCTCCTTGCCGGATTACCGCCATGGGATCTGGAGGCGATAGTCCTCGCGCGCCTGCACGAATGGCGCACGGAGGCACTATGCCGGGGGGAAACCCCGCTGCCGCGGCAAGTTGTCGCGCAGCGGACAGACTTCCGGCACGATCTCATGGCGACATGGAGAGAGCGACTGTCGCAACCCCGTGCTGGGCACGCCACTATAGCGGTGATAAGACC